CCAAGCACCAGGGCAAAACAGAGACAAGATAATTACGGGGATAACAGGCTAAAAATAGACTCCTTCACACCCAGACTCCTGGCAGGGAAGACGCCAGACGAGCTGGCAGCAGGAGCCGGGCGCCCAGGGCCCTCCGAGGAGGGGAGGCCCCAGGCGCACAGGGTGAGGAGGGAATGCAGGGTGCAGGGCTGGCACGGGGGTCTCCATCCTCTGGGAGCACCAGGCAGGTGCCAAGACGGGGAGGGGTGAAGAGGGGCCCCAGAGGTGACACCAACGGTGGGGTGCAGAATGATGTCCACGGGGGAGAGGATGAGAGCAGGGCTTTGGAGGATGAACAGGCGTCTGGCAGACGGCAGCCATTCCCTGGAAGGGTGGAGCGGGGAGCGTCATGGGCAGCTTGGTGACTCCCAGAGGGACTCCCAGGGGCGGGCAAGGGTGGTGTCCGAGAGGGCCGCAGGGGTCCCTGGTCTGACCACCTCTCCAGAGCCACTTGATTGCTCACCCCCTCTTCAGGTAGCTGCCTTCTTTGGGGAGCAGCCTCTCAGCAAGACTTCCCTCCCTGGGGCTCCCTGAGCCACGGCTTGGTGTGCCCTGTGTGGGGCTGGCGTCGGAGACAGGACAGAGGCTGAGGCCTGCTCCTGCTCTATCCAGCTGAGCCCCCCGGCAGCCTCCGGGGTCCCTTCTTCCGGTCAGAGTCCAGCTTGGGACCCAACCGAGGGACTCAGGGCGGGACGCCTGGCGGCCCTGGCCCTCTCGGGGGCTGAGTAGAGGAGGCTGTGCTCAGAGGTCCAGGACTCCTGCAAGGGGGGCAGTCAGAGGGAGGAGGCGTTCTGGAGCAGAGCGAGGTGGACAGAGGTGGGCGGCAGGAAAGAGCTGGTGACAGCCAGGCAGCCGGCAGGGGCGTTTGGGAGAGAACGATGGAGGGGGTTTGCTTCTGAGGGATTCTGGAAAGGCAGTGGCTGGCAGGACGGGAGGGGCCCGAGTGGGCTGGAGAGAGAAGGAGGCAGAGGTAGAGACAGCGGTGGGTGGGCATAGAAGGAGGGGGCAAAAGGGGTGGGGAGGTTGGGGGGGAGACCTGCAAAAGGGGTCTGGGCTTCACCCCCTACCGCTGCAGTGGCGGGGAGGCAGAGCCCTAGAAAGCTGGCTTGGAATTGGGGCTTTATCCAGTGGCAGTGGAGACACTTAGAGTTGGGCCCAGGAGCTGCCTGATCAGCAATTTTATTTTTTCAAGGTCTTTTTATTCCAGGAAGGGGGGTCTCTGGGAAACGAATCAACACAAGCCGAACAGGGAAGCAAAAGCCCAGTGGGACGGCCTATGTGATGACGCCTCAGAGGGGAAAGGAGCGTGGGGTGACGGTACACAGACCACGGGAAATGGGCAATTTGAAACTCCAGGGACAGACTAGCGTCGTATAAGAAAGGAAATAGAACGGCAGGCCGCCGCCCTGGAGGATAGTCAGGGCCGTGCTGTCTGAACACTGAACATTAAACTAACGAAACCACTTCCCTGGGAGAGGCAGGGAGCAGGGTCCACGCCCTGGATGGGGGTCCCTAGTACTGCATGAGGCTGGGGAAGGGACAAACGGCGCGTCTAGGTGGTGATCTGTGGCAGCTACACAAGAAACAGGGAGCCTTCAGCCAGCCCGCCCTGAGGAGTGGGGCTGTGAGGAGGGTGAGGAGTCGGGGAGGCCAGGCCTTCCCCAGGCTTCCAGCCGGGACTGGGCGCCATCACGAGACGGGGGTGGGGCTGGGGGCGGAGATTGCCACTGGGGGAGGACAGGGGGTGCAGAGGGAGAGCAGGACTGGGCAGCAGAGTGGGGCCTTAGGGAGCGCAAACCGTGCCCTGTGGCCACGTAGGTCGCGCTTCGGGCAAGGCCGCCCCCACTTGGCCGCGCTGCAGCCCTGGCCCTCAGGCCACACCCCGCTCCTGAGGGGGTGTCCCCAGGTGGCCTGGGGCCAGCGCGAGTTACCTGGTTGTCTGGGTAGGGCTCTGTTTAGGGTGGCTACGAAAGGGCAGCTTGTTTGGACAGGTAGAGCAATGCCCATTTGGGGCTACACATCCCCAGGGGATGCGGCTGAGGGACGCCAGCTGTCTGGTCCGTGCCCACGGGCTCAAGCTGAGGCTGACAGAGACGCAAAGGAGGCCGTTCGGTTCACCTGGTGGCTGGTTGTCCCTCTCGGGCCTCAGTTTCCATAAGAGCGGCCGGTAGCTCTGCCGCTCCCTCACAGAGAGCAGTGGTGGCTGAGGCTCAGGGAACCCTGCACCTGCTGCCCCAGAGCCAAGGGCTGGGCTGGGCAGCCTGGCCCTCCTCCTGGAGGAAGCAGGCTAATCATCGATGCCACCCCAGCTGCCCACAAATAGGGCACAAGCTGGGAGCTCCTGCAGCGTGGGAGAGGCCCGCCCTCGGGTGGTGCCGGGTAGGTCTGCGGGAGGGGGAGGGGGGGCCTGCAAAGAGGGGACCAGACAGAGGAGGAAGCGCAGTGAGGAGCCTCCTAATTCAGCCCGGTCAAGAATCGGGGGTCTGTGGGCAGCCAAGGCCAGGGGTCAGTGGGGACCAGATCCTCATATCACATTGGGGGTTAGGATTCAACATAAGCGTTTGGGGGGGGCACAAACGCTTTTAGGGAGGCCATAGTTGCCTCTCCCGCTTGGCTTTGTCACCCCACACACTCCCCACCCTCAGGTCACTTGGCCCTCCCTCTCTCCGCTCCCTTTCCTCCTCCACCTGGCGAAGGTGAAAGTCGGTAAATCACTAATGTATAATAATTAGACTTAGCAGGTTTGCAGTTTGACTCATCACATAGCTGGCTATCTAGTCGCCTGTGATGAGACTTCGTTTGCAGTTTGATCCATCCTGATATTTGATATTCAGCTGTTTTCTCGTTGTTTCTCCCCTCACTGATTAACTGAAGAACTCTGTTTTGTTCCCTTTCTCAAGGCTGCCCGTACCTCGTTAATTAACAAGCATCCTAACCTGAAAAGGGCAATTTCTTAATCCTCAGGCGCCCCCGGACACCGGAATCCAATTTGCAAGTCTCTTGCAGTTTTTACTGGTGACGCATAAAGCGGCCCAGACCCCAGGAAGTGACGTCAGCCCTCAGACCTGCCTGACTGACTCCCCCTTTTCTATATAAGAAAAAGCTAACCTGAAGTTCCTTGCAGCTGTCCACTCTGAGACTCTGCCCCTAGCAAACTCCCGTTGGTGTTTCTCTCCCTACTGCCCAGCTGAGCTGCCACTGGCTTCCCTTCTGCAAACAACCAGAGGTTAATACTAAGCCAGAACACACCCCTCACTATGAGGGACTCCACCCTATGCCTGTGCACACCTAGTCTGCACACTCCCCATCCCCCAAAGCCACTCCTTGGCCACCCCTCCACTAAAAAAGGTGCACCCCAAGACTCAGCGTGCCCTTGGGAGAAGAGATCTGTTGGAGCAGATTCTGGGATGTGGGCTGTACTCTGGAGGGGGGGGGGAGGGGAGAGACAGAGATGAAGAGAGACTGACAGAGAGGCAGAAAGAAACCCACGCGCAGCTCAGCCCTCCGGCCTCTTTTCTTGGGACACAAGAACTCAGTCTGCATCTCAAAGTACTTGAAGGGTTCCAATAGCCTGTTTCACAATCAGCCAGTTACAGGGAGTGACTTCTCACTCGGAGCAAAAGCACCCACAGCCTGCAGCTTGTGAGGTGAGCGGTAGTACTCGGGGAGCAGCTACTGCCGCTCAGGCATCACCATGGTGCCCCAGCCGCCTGTCACTTCCATTTCCGCTCCCCGTTTGGTATTGCCTTCATTACCTACATGAAAGAGAAGGGAAGGATAGAGAAGAGGTGGCCCTTTCATCACGGAGGGCTACACTCAGAGCTGCTGCAGAGGGCCTCCCGCGAGGAGGGTGACAACACTTCCGGTGACAGGTGGTTCCCGGGGCTCCAGTTCCTCTCCTGCCTCCCCTGACCTCCTCCCAGGCTCTCAGGCTGGGCTGCCCTCACCCACCTTCACCACCGGGCCAGCCAGGACTCCGCCATCTGAGGGGCGAGCTCTGTGCTGGGGAGGTGACCAGGCCCTGCAGGGGACCACGGTGCTCGTGATGCTACTCTTGCTTCTCAGCCTGGCTAGGGAGCCTCCCCAGGCGTTCAATCCAACCCTGTCCAGGTGTTGCTAAGGTCTTTGGCAGGTGTGATGGACGCTCACAATCAGCTGACTTTAATAAGAAAGGTAACAGGCCCGCTGGGTGCACCTGGCTCTGTCACCTGAAAGGCCCTCGAGCAGAGCTGAGCCTTTGCGTGGGCAGAAGAGAGCTCTGCCAGCTGGTGGACATGGGCGTGGCCTAGCCGGTGAGCCGGCGCCTTGCAACCAATCTCTCACTGTCCAGCTCCGGCCTGTCCCTCTCCTGTTAAACAATGGCCGGTGTGCGTCCCCTCCAGGCCACCTCTCCCTCCCACTAGGACGCAAGTGAAGCCAACCACCCACAGGACATCAGATGGCCCTCAGAGTTCTTGAGGACGCTCGTGGGTTGTATTAGTGACGGTTCCTTCACTTTGCAGACTAGGAAACTGAGGCTCAGAGACCAAGTTCACGATCCTGTAGCCAAGACTCACCAGGGCCCCCTGACAGCAGGGAACTTGCTTTTCCGGGGTCCCTGAGGCTCTAGGGCCTGCGATGTCCCCCTGGGCCTGCACGCATGCTGTGTGGGCTGAGCCCTGGTAGCAGATGAGTTCCCAGGACACCCCCATCATGCACACCCCAGCAGTGAGTGGAGGAGGGCTGGCTCAGCCCCCTCCCAGCCCCTGCCACCACAGCCTGCTCAGCTCTAGGAGCTGCAGGGGGGCAGGCTTCTGTGAGGGGAACCCCTAAGGTCCTTCTAGCCTGAGGACCCAGGACCCTGACGACTGCCCTGTGGGTCAGTGGGGCTGTGCTCTCCTGGGTCCCCACCACCCTGAGCTGCCTCCTCCGACAGCTCTACTCCCCCGCCCAAGCCAGCAGAGAGAGAGCAGCACACACACTCCACGTTTCAGTGTTTTATTAACAAAATCTTACAAAACAGTCTGTCTTCAAGGCAGGTGGCAGGGCTGCCCACAGCCTGGCCTGACTATTTGAGGCTTGGTCCATGGGGGACAGGGACCCGGGACCTCCCTGCAGCCTGTGCCAGCCTGTGAGTATGGGTTATGGCTTATGTGCAAAAATAAAATTTGGGGGGCTGACAGGGCATGGGGTGGAGGGGCTGGTAAAGTCACCTGTGGATATCAGTCCCCCGAATCTGGGAACCCCCAGTGAACAGGCAGAAAGGGGAATCACCAAACAGGACCTGCTCTGGCTGCAGACACAAGTGTCGGGCCAGCACCGGTGTTGGTGCTGGGAGAAGTGGGGGTCCAGGCCTGGGCAACAGTGGGACCTGGCAGAGAACCAGTTTGAGCCCCAGGAGAAAAGGCTTTGGGATCTCCTGGGGCTGGGCTTGGGACCACCAGGCAGGGGCAGGGGCTATGGCCTCAGCCCCAAGGCTCTCAGAAAGCGCTGGCAGGAGAGGATGGCCACATAGTGGGCAGGGGTGCCTGGGCTGGAGCAAGACAGGGCCCGGGGTAGTGGACCCTGACTCCAGCCACCGTGGCCCTGGGCACGGGCAGGCTGGTGGCCAGCGGGGCGGGCATAGTAGCAGGCCCTGGCCCTCGCGCTGGCCCGTCTTCACCACCAGCTGCACCTGGCCCCTTCTCTCGCTGGCCTCAGACGTCTCCTCCTATGCAGGCAGCTTGCGGGAGGAGAGGGGGCCGGCAGTGCCAGGCACAGCAGCAGGGGCTCTCTGGGAGCCTTGAGACCTAAAAAAAAAGATGATAGAGGTGGTCAGGGACAGGGCAGGTGATTGGGGGTGTCTACAGGAAGGACATTGCGGGGGGACATAACGGGTCTGCCCTCCCAGGGCCGAAGCCTCAGGTGGGCTGCCTCTCAGCTCGCCAGAGGACCAGGGGAGGGGCCTGGGACCCGGGGGGCCTGTGGAGGCACTCACAGGCCCGTGACAGCCGAGGGTCAGGGTCTCGGGTGGAAGGGATGGGGCTCCATTACCTGTTGTCATTCTCCTGGCTCCGTGGACAATGGCTGCTGCCTCAGCCAGTTTGAGGACTCAGGTCCTGTGGGACCTCTGCCTGCCGTGGGTGAGTCACCGAGCTGAGCTCGAGCCTTCTCCAGGCTGGCATGAATCACGGATGCTACAACGGGAGAGACACATAGGGTACGTGTGAGCGCTGGCTCAGCAGACTCCCCCAGCCCTGCCTCCCACCCAGCCCCCTCCCCCTGACCCTGCAGGCTCTGCTCCTCCCCACTCTCCACAACGCTGCCCCCACCCCAGCCCCGCCACCAACTTGCTGGGGTGCCTCTGAGCCTTGGTGGGCTGGCCTGGAGCACAGACATGGCCCTGGGCCCTCCCAGCTCCACGGTGACCCCTAGCGGTAGTGCCCCGGTGCAGGGCCTCACCTGAGGGGCCAGGAGACACGGGGACTCCAGGTCTGCGGCTGCCACTGCTGCGTTTCAGCTTCAGTTTCCCTCCAGGACAGGGAGAGACGCTGTCCGAGGCTGGCCAGCTGCCCTGCGTGGCGACCGCCAGGAGAGGGCTGCGGCCCCAAAGCTGAGGTTCCCGTGGCACTAGTTCTGCCGTAGCTTCTGCTCTGGGGTCTCCCTTGAGCTTGGTTCCCGCTGGTCCGTGCCATCTGGACACTTGGTTCCTGAGTGCCCAGAGGGTCCAGGCGTTGAGCAGGATGAGGAATCTGGGGCTCCTGTCATGGCCTGAGAGTGTGTGTGCGTGGTTGGGACGGGGAGAGGGGGGGATGAGTAGCCCAGGCTGGCCCGGAGACCCGGAAGACAGACGGAAGGAGGGTGACAGGGCAGGGTCCTGCAGGGGAGAGGAGCTCGTTTGCTCTTTGGGGGACACCGCCCATAACTGGAGGACGTGTGTCTGTGTGCATCGGGCTGGGAGACTGAGGGAGGGTGTCCAGCTCTCTCTCCACCACAGGACTCAGCCCCACTTGAAAGTCCTAGTTGGCAAAGGCCACCGGTGGGGTGTGGCAGGAAGGCTGGGGCCCGGATGCCCTCTATTCAGGCGGGGTTCGGTCGCTGGCCACAGAGTCGTTGGTGAGGACCGGCGTGAGGGCCTCGGACTCGGCCTCGGTGGGATGACTGGGGCTGGCCGGCTCGGCCACCTGCTCCAGGTCGTCCTGGACCTCCATGCCCCGCTGGATGAGCTGCTCCAGGGTCTTGGGCAGCGGGTGGCGCAGGAAGCGCTTGAGTTTGGGCTGCAGGGTGCCCACCACGTACTGGATGACCTCCTCCTCCTCCGCGTCCACGTGCAGTGTCTGGTACAGGTCCCGCTTGCGCCACAGGAACTGGTCGAGCGGCTCGCCCTGCTTCTGCGGCAGGTCCAGCTCGCGCTGGATGGCCTCGCGGGACAGCGTGCCCTCGCTGTACTGCAGGAACTCCTTCTTGAACTCCACCCAGTTCTTCACCGAGCCCTGCTTGAACTCCCACCACTTCTTGGCCGGCCCGTTCATGTGGTTCTGGATCTGCGACAGCCAGTACTCCTCGGAACCGCCCACCTGCCTCAGGTACTCCTCCAGGTGACTGAGGAACTCATGCGGGTCCTCGAAGATCTGCGTGTCCACGCCAGGGCTCAGCTGCCCGTCCTCGCCGGGCCCCCAGGGCGGGTACTGCTGGGCCTCCTCCTGCTCCTGCCCGGGCAGTTCGCCGGCGGCCGGGGGTGGGGTGATGGCATAGGGGCTGACAGTGTAGTCGTAGCCGTCGGCCTCGGGACCCCCGACGCCCACAGAGACGGTGTGGCGGGCCGGCTCTCTGCCCACCGGGTACTTGCCACCCATGGCCTCCAGGCGGTCGGCCCACCTCTCCAGCCGATAGAAGACCTCCCTCCACACATGCATCTCGCGCTTGACCCAGCGCTCCAGGTTGGCAATCGTCTCCTGGCAGCGGCACAGGCAGGCCTTGATGGACTTCTTCCAGCGCTGCGAGTCGCTCGTCGGCACGTAGCCGTCCAGGTTGCTCTCCAGCTTGCCCACCGACCTGTGCAGCCCCTTCAGCTCGCGCTCCACCTGCTTGGACACTTCGGTCAGCAGGTGCCGGTGGGTCCTCCGCACGTGCTCCAGCATCTCGGCCCGGCACTTCCCGATCTGCAGGATCACATTGGGCTTGGCCGCCGGCGCGCCCCGCGGTGCGGGGTAGGCGTGGAGGCCGCCGCTCGTCATGTGGTCCAGCTCCATCTGCGCGCAGGTGGCCGCGGTGCTCGGACAGGCGGACAGGAGGACAGGCGGGAGGCGGCGAGCTGCAAAGTCCTCTTGGGGCCGGCCGGTGAGGGCTGCGGGGTCTGGCCGTGTGGCGGGGTCGGCGCGAGTGTGGCGGTGGGCCCGGCGGAGTGGCAGAGGCTCGGTCCCACTGGGCCCGGCGCGGCGCGGAGAGGACCGTGCAGGAGCAGCGGCGCCAAGCTCTGCAACCAGCAGCCGCGGCGCCGGCTCTTTATGCTGCCGGCGCGCCCGTGGGCGGACCCCTCGCCGAGCCCCGGTTCCCATTGGCCCGCGCGCCCACCCTGCGGGCCCGCCTCCGCGCCCACTCGCGCTGGAGCGCAGAGGGAGGACCCACCCCCTGCACACAACGCTGGCCCGGGGTGACTAACCCGCTCGCTCCACCGCCCCCCTCCCAGGGCTCATTCAGCCTGCAGGACCGGAGAGATTGCTGGGACCAGCCACCACCCCCCATGACAGCGCTGGGCAGGGAGGTACAGGTGTGTGCCTGGTGAGGCTGGGGCTGATTGTTAGGCTGCCCACCCCCCCAAGGGTAAGGAGGAAGCCACCCCCCCCCAGGGACTCGGGGTGGGAGTGGGGGGCTTCCTCCTTTCATATCTCTTTCCTTACTGGGTGGGGGTGGGGGTGAGGTGCTGGACTGTGCTCTCCTGGGTCCCCATTGTCCTCCACCCTGACCCTCCCTGTCCAGCTGCAGGATGGTCAGCACTAGATTCACCCTGATAACCATCCTGATATCAAACCCGCCTTCTCTTGAGCTGAAGGTTTCAAAGAGTCTTGATGTGCACAGGCGCCTGCGTGAGGGAGCACAGGCACATTCCCAAGTGTCCAGTGTGAGTCCCAGATGTGACCTTGAGCTCCTCCCCACCCCTGCTTTGGGGGCCCTGTACTGGACCTCCGTCTGGCGCTGTGTGTGAGGGACACGCACCCAGGCCTTGGCTCTGGCCAGCCCCTGGCATGGGCGTGGATGTGCGACAGCTGTGTGGCAGTGGCTGGGCAGCACTGCCCAGTGCCCCACTCCCGGTTCTTCTCCATTTAGCACCTCCAGGGAAATCTGGAAGCTGCTCCCTGGGGTGGGGGTGGGGAGCAGGCGATGGAGGGGCCCTGTGCACCCGGCCACTGCGGGAACCTGGTCAGAAGCTTCAAGACTTCTAAGAGGAGGGGAGATGGAGAGAGGAGGAGGGAGGGGGGAGACGGAGAGGGGGTGCTGGCAGCCCTCTGCAGTCAGCAGAGGCAGAGAACAGCAAAGCACCATATAAGGAGTGGGGCTCCGGAAGCTGAGATTCCCCTCTGCCTCCCTGGCAACAGCAGCGGGGGAGGGACATCCTTCCTGGGCTACCCCATGACAGCCGGGCCCCAGGTCCTCTGTTGTTACCTGGGTACAGGTAACACATACCACTGCCCGCAGCCAGAGACCCACAGACACAACCAGTGCCAGTAAAGACACCTCAGCTAGCCTCTGCTGCCCGTTTCCCTCCCCCTCTCTCCACACTGCACACTCATCCCCCCACATACACACTCATCCCCCCCACATACACACTCATCCCCCCCACATACACACTCATCCCCCCACATACACACTCATCCCCTCACATACACTCATCCCCCCACCCCCTCACACATTCCAAGGGCACACGGCTCCGGTGCCCTCAGAGGCCCCTTCCCCTGCTTTCCCGGAGCCCTCCCCCCATCCAGAGCCAATCTGTCTCCTTTCCTCTCTGAGCCCCTGCTGAAGTGGGGGGAAAGTCTTTCTGGTAAAAACTCCCCAAAAATTGCTCTCCTGGCATTTCTAATTAAAGGCACGTGGGAGGGCAGAGAAGGGAGGGTGGAGGGGCCTCACGGAACAGGGAGGGGGAGGCAGGCAGGGAGGCTTCTAGAACAGGAATCCCGGAGTTGCCCAGCCCAGGAGGTCCAGGAATCCCAGAGCTGTCCAGCCCAGGAGGTCCGGAACTGCAGGAGGCTGCAGGCCTGTGTGTGTGAGATGTGTGCGGGGCGGTGAGTGTGGCCAGGCCAGCAAGTGTGGCTGGTCACCGTGGGCCTGCGTGTAGCCGAGAGCCTGTGTCCGTGCCTGAGGTGAGCTCCAGGCTGTGTTTAAGGATCCCTGTCTGCTGGGAGGGCTCCCACTGAGCCAGCTGGGCAGGGACCGCACTCACGTGTGTGTGTGTGTGTGTGTGTGTGTGTGTGTGCATGTGTGTGTGCGTGTGTGCGTGTGTGTGTGTGTGTGCATGTGTGTGTGCGTGTGTGCGTGTGTGTGTGTGTGTGTGTGTGTGCGCACGCGCGCGTGCGCGTACAGTGGGAGTGCCAGAGCCAGCACCAGAGTGACCAGGAGCCACCCCTCCACCTCCCCACAGTTTACGAAGTCCATGTGGCCGCTAAGGGTGGCACTCAGGCCCAGGTTCCCTGACCAGCTGGGTGGCCCAGCCAGGGTATGGCTTTCTGGGCCTTGGGCCTGCCGTGGCCTCCAGCCCACCCCCACCACACACACACCCAAGGCAGCAGCCGTCTGGCAGGGCTTCCTGGAGGAGGGGGAGCCCAGCCAGGGCCTGGAGGGCTGCAGAGGAGTTGACCAGGCCGACAGCAGCAGGGCAGGTGGTGGCACAAGAGGAGCTGGGCTCCGGCAAGCGAAGGCAGGAGATCGGATGGTAGGGGTGCACACCACCTTTGTGGGGGAGCCTGGCGGAAGAGGGAATCTCAAAGTGGCCCAGCCGGCAGTGTGGGCTTGGCTCAGACCCCGGGTGTCCCCTTCCATGGTCAGCCTAGCCCGAGTCCAGCAGAGGGGGAGATGCTGGGGGCGGGTCCTGCGCAGCCAGGCAGGACCTGCCCAGAGGCTGTGCTCACAGGACCCGCAGTGACAGGTGACAGAGGGAAGGCGGCTGCTTGCTCGGGGAAGACTTAATCGCTGCCCAATTATCGCCCCAGAAGCCCTCAGCAAACCTCCGCACTGGAGCCTGGGGCTCCATTTTTCCACCTCCAGAAAAAGAGGCCGGGCTGCTCCCCCCGCCTGGGATGGGGGGGTCTGTCCTCGCCCTGCCCCTCCGAGCCCACCCTTCCTCCACAAGCAGGGGCGAAGGTCAGAATGCAGACCTTCATCCCCCTGGCCTCACCCACAGCAAAACACTGCAGGCTGGGAAGGAGGCAGGTGGAAGGCGGAGGGCCTAGGGGAACCCCCACTCTCAGAGCCCAGCTGGTCCACTGCCTCCAAGGCCTTGCCTGCCTTAGAAGGAGGGCTCTGCAAGAGAAGGAAGGCGGGCCAGGGTGGCACAGAGGGGGGTGCCCAGCACTAGGACCCAGGCCGCGCCCCACGCAAGCCTCTCTGGGCTTCGACCTTCTGCCTCTGTGGCTCCAGGCGCCCAGAGCCCGGTGCTGACCGAATAATGTGAAGATGCCTCTCTCTAGCTGGATCTCCTCCCAAACCCACAGCCTCAGGGAGCCCCATCCCACCCCCAAACAGAGCCTTGTTCCTCTCAGACCTCCGACGGCCCACAGACAGCACCCACCTCCATGGCTTCTCTGTGACCAAGTGCTTTCTCCACAAGGGTCACACCTGCCTCTGGGGACCCCTTAGGGTCGGCTCTTAGCCCCCACAGCCTGGGTCCCCAGAGGTACTGGGGGTCCTGCTCAGCGAGGCAGGACAGGTCACCTGTGCCCCAGCCTCCCTCCGTCCTCCCCTTCTGGGGTTCAGAGTGTGGTCTGGAGGCGGAGAAGGGGTCACGTGCCTCCCCAGCAGGGCCGTGGCCCCAACCCTGAGGGCTCCCACCAGGCTCCCGGGAGCTGCTTTCCCGGTGTCAGCAGGTAGCCCCTCTTAGCGCCTGGGTGTGAGCACCAGCTCCTCGGGGTCACAGGCCGCCTCGCACACACTCACCCAGCTGCCCCAGGGCCCCTGTTGGGCCGGCTTCGTGGCCCGTCTTTGTGGAGGAGAAGCCAGGGCAGGTGTCTGTCTCTCGCTCTCACCTGCCCCTTCCTGCCTGGCCTTGACCTGCAGTCCAGGTGCCACCTCCACACTTACCACTGCCTGTTCCGCCACCCCTGGTGCCATCCCAGGGCCTTCTCCCATTGCTACCACGCCTGAGGGAGCTGGGACAGAAGGACCAGGCCAGCCCTGTGCCCACAGGGAGCCCACCGCAGGCCCAGCTGCTCGACCAGCACTTCCTGGTGGAGTCTCCGGTCCATCGCGACCCAGGGCCTGGGACCCCCAAGGCCGGGGGCTGGTTCTCCTGCCCCACCCGGTCCCCGCCTAAGGAGTGCCCCCAACTCATCCAGCCTCGAGCCTCCTATCAGAGTGTCACTTCTGGGACCTGGGAGGCTCACGTGGCAGGGACCCCCGCCTGTGGCTCTGTTCTGCTTCTTCCTTGCTCTGTCCGCCCCCTCTGCCTCCTGAGGCAGCACAGGGGCTGGGATGTCTGCCCAGGCGGCTGCACAAGCCCCAGACACGTGGGAGAGCAGCTGGTGGAAGGGCCTGGAGCCTGAGCTTCCCACTGCCCTGCCCCGCCGCTGCCCGTGTCCACCCCAGCCACCTGCCCTCCGCACAGTGGAGCTGGGGCAGGGGACACAGGGGAGGCCTGGAGAGACAGAAGCAGGGATGGGGCGCGGGCGCGGGACACGGCGGGTCAGAGCTGAGAAGAGGGTTGGGAGGACCAAGGAGGAGAGAAGGACTGAGGCAGGGAAAGCAGAGGGGCAGGAAGAGACGCCAAGACAGGGAGACAAGGGTGCGGATTGCCTCCGTCGTTTCTCAAGAGGTCCTCACCCCGTTTACACAGCGGTTCTGAGGTGGGGGGACCCACTCCAGGCCGCAGAGGAGGCAGGTGTCAGGCGGGGTTCCTGCACCCCCGCCTCATGTGCCTGCTGCTGCAGAACAGCCTGGGAGAGACCCCGGGAGACCAGGGCAGGACGGGGCAAGGGTCTTCGGAGGCCCATCAGTGCAGGAGGACACACGCTGGTGGTGGCTCGGGAGGCCCCCCGAGACAGGAGGCGACAAGAGCAGGGGCTGAGCCCTGGCCTGGGGACCCGGGTCAGGCAGCACCTGAGCTTCCGGAACATTCCTTTCAGACCCCGCCCCCCCCTCCGTCTTCCTCGGCTTCCTCTTCTCTCCAGTTTGGCAGGGTGTATGTGCTGTGTCCTGTCCCCGGAACAGGCAGCCTGTTCGTTCTGGGCCTCAACAGAACAGCCCCCCCCCCCACTCCTCCCTCCTTCCTGCCTCCTGCCTCAGCGCCTCCCAGTCCAGCCTCCAAGGAAAGTTTTGTATTTTTCCGGTGATTCTGGCACGGGCTGTGCCTGAGCCGGCTGCTCCTGTACCCTGCACCCTGCAGGCGTTTCACCACCGCCACCCCCTACCCCCAAGCCAGGCGGCTGAGCCCAGGAGCCATGGGCCCAGGTAGTGGAAAGTCCATCCTCAAAAGACCTCACCACCCCCAGCCATTACAGAAAGGGAAACTGAGGCCCAGGGAGGGCCAGGGGCTTGTCCAAGCCCGAAGCAAAGAAACCAGAGCGAGGGCCGGACGGGGAGAGAGTGTGGGGACAGCCCTGCAGGCTCCCGGAGTGGCACCGTCCCTTCGTGGCCTCAGTGTCCTCACCTGTAAAACGTGCACAACTGTCTCTGCCCTGTTCAGCCGTGAGGTGGATCAGTCATTCAATCAACAAACAGTTCCCGAGCCCCACTTGGCAGGCACTGAACAAGGTGGGGTACAGGGAGGTGCAGATCGCCCCATAAGACAGGGGCATCACCACGACCCCAGGCAGACCCTGGAGGACTCCGGACTGCGTGTGGCCCTCCCTTCATGTGCAGGCAGTAGCAGATTAAGCCTCCCCCTCAAGGGGTCACCCGCAGCTGACCCAGGCCCAAGCCAGGACACGGAGAAGAGAGGCCACTGCGGCCTCTCAGTGGGGGAGGCCAGTGTTGGGGGCCGGAAGCTTGGACAGGGGTTGGGGCCAAGGACAGCTCCACACACCGCCAGCCGGGTGATCGCCCAGCCAGCATCTGGTTCTTAAATGTGCCCTTGGCTCCGTGTTGCCTCTGGCCGGGTCTGAGTGTCCACAGACCACCCGACGAGAGGCAGTCACCTGCCTTCTCAGCTGCTTCCCCTCCAGGCGCTATGTGACCTCTTGCAAGTCACTTAACCCCCGTGGCCCTGCCATTGTCCTCATGCAAGGGGCAGACGGGACTAAACAGTAGCCGAGGTTCTTCTCAGCCCAGGTGGCTTGGGGGCCGCCGGCATGAGTGCGTGGTGAGGAGAGGGCTGCACCTGTACCCATGTCGTTCCCTCCGCCGGAAATGCCCCCACCACCCTGTGTTCAACTGACAAAGGCCTACCCAGTTTTAAAACTTAAGCATAAATAAAACCTTAGCATGGCTTTATGTGTTGTCTAAATCTGAGCCCAGGGTCACCACCTCCAGGAAGGCTTCCCAGCCTCCCAGCACAGTGTTAGCTGAGTCCTCTGTGAGTCCCTCGTATGTGCCCCACTCAGAGCCCCTGAGCAAGGTGTCTTCTTGTGTGCACATGTGTGAGTGTGTTGTGAGTGTGAGTGGGGATCTTTCTGAACTCTGTCCAGCCGTGGCGTGTTCCTGCTCACCAACTGTGCCAGGACCTGGCTTGCTATGGGCATGTCAAGTGGACAAGACCCACCTGGATCCTGCTTCGAGGAGGCTCCTGGTCACAGATGCCCTGACATCCCAAGTGTGCTGGGGCCAGCAACCCGCGGGGGCCTGACGGGCGGGGACAGCTGGAGGCCGAGCCTGGGGAGCTGGGTGCAGGGGGTCTGGAGGGCAGAGGGCACAGGGAGGAGTGGGCGGCTGGGCTCCATCCGTCTCCAGGGGCAGAGCCTGGAGGAGAGGGGGACTGAAAGGGGGTCTGCAGACCCAGCACTAGGCCTATGGCCTGGAGCGGGGATAGTGGGGCCACAGGGACAGGCAGGTGGGGAGCTGCCTCAGGCCAGTGTCCCAGCTGGAGAGCCGGGCGCCATGGGTGGGAGAAGGACCAGTCTGAGGGCTATTTAAGGGTGAAAAATGAGGGGGGAGCCAGGGTCCCGGTCGGCTCGGCTCAGAGGCCCTGGCAATCAGGTGTGGGAGGTGAGGCCTCCCCAGGAGCATCTGGGAGCTCCCTGGGGGGTTGGAATCAGGCGGCCGCCCCCTCCTCTCTGCTCCACTGGGCCCCCAGCCAGGCCATGTGCCAGCCCCCACCACCTCCCTGGATGCCCAGAAACCCCAGATCGTGCTGCTGGAACCCCAAGCGTGGCTGGCCCCTCAGCGAGGATTGGGGGGTTTGCTGCCAGCTGGCCCTGGCCAGACACCCCCGGAACTGGGGATTCAGGACGCCCGTGCCAGGGAGGGGGTGGCACTCATCCGCCCCCGGAACTGGAGATTCAGGACAGCCTGTGCCAGGGAGGCGGTGGCGTCCATCCTCGCTTTCCTGCTATTCTCTGCACCTCCGGTTAAATCTCTCCCCAGCGCAGCAGTGGCTTCCGGAGCCATAAAAGGAGAGAGACTGAGAATAGCTCAGTGTGACGCAGCGCGAGGAGCTTCCCCACGTAGGCAGGCTCTGTGCCTATGAGAAGCCGCCTTAGAGAGACCCCCGCCCAGCAGCCGTCCCTCTGGAATGGCGGTGGCCGGCTTGGCCACAGGCCCCGGTCCCCCTACCCTTGCCGCTGGCCTGCTGTGTGACTTGCCACACTCCCTAGACCTCATTATCCCCATTGCCCGCTCCCCTTAGCTCTGGGCCCAGCATCCTGGCCCCCGGCCCATGACTGCCCTGTGGGCATGTGTCCTCCCTGGAGGTGTCACCCTTGCCCCTCACCCAGAGGTACGGGGGCTCTGGGACCCCCCAGGTCTTGGGTGGAGGCAGGGGTAGGTTCCAGGGCTCCCTCCACTTCAGCTCACTCTCCCAGACGCATGGCCACCCCTGCCCTCTGCTCGCCCTCCCGCCTCAGCCCGTGACCAACTGACCGGGGGAGCCTTCAACCCCTGGGCGCTGCCTGTCAGCCATGTGCCTGCCTCCCTGGTGTGTGTGCGCGTGTGTGTGTGTGTGTGTGTGTGTGTGTGTGTGTGCGTGTGTGCGCGTGTGCGTGCGTGCTCTCTCTCTGCCCCACTCCGGTCGCTCTGGCTCTGGGCCCGATGCCCTCCCTACAGACAGTGGTCGTTGCTGCCACTGCCCTCTCTGCACACCAGGAGACCGGGAAGCTGGGGAGACCAGGCCCTTCCGAGGTGAATCCGGGCCTGGCGGACAGCCCATGGGGCCAAGAGAAGGGGAGAAGGATCAGGTGAGGAGGAGGGTCCTGGATATGGCCTCTGGGGCGGTGGTCCAACCCCAAAACCCAGAGGTCAGGGTGAGGGTACAGGGCCCTGGGAGCTGGGAGCCGCCCCTACCCACACCCATTCCCACAAACACACCCCCTCTGAGCTGTTTTCCAGCAGGACCCCAGATCCACTCCTGTAGGGGCTGGCTCCTGTCCGAACGTCCCCTCCGGCTTCACTCTCAAAATCCCCAGGACTGAAGCCTTAGCTGGCTTTCATATCCTGCTCCCTCCACCTCCTCCTGGGGGGACAGCAGAGGACACTGAGGCCACCCCCACTCCAACCGGGGGTTTCTCCCCCACGCTCTGCCCTGATGGCCCCCCACCCATCCCAGAATCCTCAGGCTATGCCCAGAGCCCAGAGTGTCCCCCTCAGGTCTCGGCTCCCTCAGACCTGGAATACCCCATGACAGGATCTGGGCAGGGCCTGTGGATCCGGGGAGCCTCAGGGAGGTCAGACACCCCTAGACACTGGCTGCGGCCCTGGGGAGTCAGGTTCCCACGCCTGAGGCATAGAGACTGACTCCGGCCCTGGAAGCAGGCAGGGGAGGGCGTTCTCAGTCCCGAGACGCTGGCCTCCCTCCCAGGCCCTCCTCCCCTGCCTGGGCCAGCCCAGGACACGTGCACGTGGGAGTCCACCCAGGCCAGAGACAGATGGCCAAGGAGGTGGGCCCACCACCAGAGCACATTCATCAGCTGAGCCATCTGCGGCCCACCACCCCACTTTCATAAGCAGGAGCAGCTTGGGGGAGCAGTCCAAGCCCCAATGACTCAGCCTCGTTGGGCCCTCGGCTTACAGCCCAGCCACCACGCGATGAGCCACGTTCCCTGGACCGAGTGGCTGCTGCACTGTCCTAAATACAAATAAAATACCATGTCAGGAGCCCACAAGGACCTCAGTGTCTCCCCTGGAGGTGGCGGCCTCCTGGAGAGCCATTCCAGGCAGGCCTGCAGCGCCCATGTCGCCCGTAGGGGGAGCAGTGGGTCCCTAACCTGTGCCAACCCCAGCAGGGGGCGCTGACAGACCTCCTGCCCACAGTTCCGTCTCCGACCTGAATTCCAAGTGTCCCATGGAAGTTGCCATAATCGTTGTCACAACGACTTCCCCACTCCCACTGTCATAGTCACCACCTCTGTCATCCCCACCACTACCACCACCCTCACCATCCCCACTGTCCAGGCAGCTCAAGACACCGCAGGCTGTGTGGCTTAAACAGCAGACAGTTACGGAGGCTGGAAGGCGAAGACAGGGAGCCAGCCTGGCCGGGTTCTGGTGAGCAGACTGCAGACTTCTGGCTGTGACCTCAGCGGCAGAAGGCGATAGGGAACTCTCCGGGGTCCCTTTCATGAAGATGCTAATCCCATTCATGAGGGCTCCACCATCGTGATCTAGGCACCACCCAAAGGTCCCACCTCCTAATACCATCACTTTAGAGGTTAGGATTTCAATATATGAATATGGGGGGTTGGGGTGGGCGGATACAAACATTCAGACCACATCAAACCCCATCACCAGCAGCTCCACCCACAACCACCATTACTGTCATCTCCACCATCACCACCACCACCATGACCTCCTCCATCGTCGTCATCACTCGCACTCTCACCATCACCTCCACTCCCATTACTTCTGTCACCATCATCAAAGCCACCATCTCCACTCCCACCCCCACCATAACTATACCCTCATCACCGGCATCACCATTACCGCACCACGGTGATTCCCAGCATCAACGCCTTTGTCATGACCACCGTATCGCTACCACCACCTTTGTTATCCGCATGACCACCCGACCCAGCCTGCCCTCTCTCCGTGGAGGCAACGCCCTTCACTGGTAAAGAGTGAGGGCTCTGCAGGAGGCAGACCTGGGCTCAAGTCCGCCATGTTACTGGGACCGAGGCCAGGTTCTGAATCCACTGCCCTAATCAGGAGCTAATAGTCCAACCCTAGATCTTTATTTCCTATAAAATGACAACTTTGAATGTGTCATACTGGCCACCTGACCCTCTGGGGGCAGTGTCTGTCCAGGTGGCCCTGTCTCCTTGCTCAGCTCTATGGAGTGTCTCCAAGGAGTATGTGACTCATGGGATGACAGCCTGGCCTCAGGTCTCTGGAAGGTTCCACTTCGTTGGAATGATCAGACACAGCCCGTGAGCAGCTCCCGGACCCCAGGGCTGGGAGTGGGGAAACAGCAGGTCACCTGGTAGGAGCATGGCTTCTAGACCCCGTTCCTGCTGGGAAGACATTCCTGTCACTAAAGAGGACAGTTTCTCTTCCTGTGAGGACCACAGTGGAGGGGTCTGGTGAATTTCGAAGCACTTGCTGAAATCCCCATCATGTGTTCTGATATCTAACCTTCAGTCTGAACAATGAGAACCTGCCAGTGCTGCTGTGGAGCCTGAGAGGAGGTGGCGGGGCAGACCCAGCAGGCCCTGCACAGAGAGCGCACTAAATGTTCCCCGCCCGCTGCTATGACAGCAATTGCCCAAGGCTGGCTCATGGCAGCAGCAGGCTGGGCGGAAGGCATGGGGGCACAGGGGGACAATTAGGGGGTGCTATGGACCAGGCCTGTCCCTGAGCCACCCCTCCTCCTGTCTGCCAAGGGCCAGCTCCAAGTCCCTTGGTATAGGATACCCTCCAACACCAAATGTCCCCCTAGGCACCCTTGAACACCTGTCATGCCAGGAGGTCATTGTCTGTCCCTGAAGGCAGGGACCCTGGGCTGAGCCACCTGGAGAACATGGTGGGCGGCCGCCACGGTCCCCTCCAGGGCAGTGTGGGGCCATGTACCCCCCACCTTTGTCAGGGTGCAGCAGCAGCTGCCCCCCAGGCTGTTCTGACAGCCTCGTGCCCAGCGGCGTCTCTCTGGGGAGCCCAGGACGCCCGGCCTGAGCCTCAATGCTGGGGTCACCCACACCTGGCTGGGCCCACCTTCCAGGATGGGGGAAGGGCCAAAGCACAGCAGCGGCATGTGGACGGTGGCCACTCAAAGCCTGACACGCTTCTCCCGGGAGTTTCCCAAGGGCACAGAAGTTTTCTTCTTGCTCCTAATCAGAGAATCCGGCTCTGCTAGTGAGGGCTGCGCCCCCCACACACCATCACCTGACCGCCATCACCTCTGCCCAGCACAGAGCCCCCCCCATCCCATGGCAGCTCAGGGGCGTGCGTGCCATTGGTCCTGAGCACCCAGGCTCCCGGCCTGACTCCAGGTGACTGGGCCCGGCTTCCCAACCCCCCTCCCTCTACTCTCCCTCCTGCTCCCCTGCTGTCAAGAGTGACTGCAGTGCCATTACTCAGCTGGTCCCCACCGGCAGCTGCAGTGCTGACTCATCTCCCAGGTATCTATCGGGCCTCCTCTTCAGCGGAAAAAGTCTTTTGTGTTTCAGAGCAAAGCGCGTCATGAACCCAGCATCTCAGAGAGCCTGACGCACCTGCCAACAGCAGGAAGATACCGGGGTGTGTGTAGAGTGGGGAGCGGAAGAGTGTGCCCCACTAGCCGCAGGGCCTGGATGGGCTGTGCCCAGCAGAGGACAGTAGGAGCTGCCTAGAGGCCCGGGGCGGAGGGGAGGCCCCTCCTCCAGCCTTTTGAAAAGCACTTTGCTGTGGAAACTTGGGACACTCACAAGTGGGGAGACTGGAGAAAGTGCCCCCAAAGTTCCCAGGACCCCTCCTTTCCTCCTGGAGCATCTTAGAGCAAGCCCCCCACACACAGCCTTTTACCTGTAAATACTTTGCCATTTATCTGTGAAACAAATGCTTTGGGGACACAACCAAACACCCTTGTCACTCCAGTACAGTTTGCAGAGTCCCTGATGGGACCTAAGGACCTAAGGACCATGTTCAGTTTTCCTCAAATGACTAAAAATTGTCCTTTTACAACTGTTTTCTTCAAGTCAAGAGTGAACAAGGTCCCACACTGTCTGGGTTGATTCCTGGTGGCCCTCCCTTGGTCCCAGGGCCTTGAGGTGGGCCAGGGAGTCACAGCAAGTTGCTGTGAGCACAATGGAGTAAACAAGCGCCTGGACTGGGTAATGACAGCCCAGGACCCCCATGGTTGGGTAGCCAGCGAGGCCTCTGAGGAGGGGACCTCATTAAGTGTGGTGAAAATGACCAGGAGGGATCGTGGGGTCAGAGGAAGGCCCAGCCCGGATGGCTTCCCGAAGCCTGGGGCTCCACTCCAGTCTTCCCCCAAGGAGCTGGGCCAAAGACACAGGCCCCTGGACCCTGTGCTTCAAGAGGCCTCGTATCCACACCAGCAGGGGTCTGACCTCCTGGCCCCTCACACTTTTCCAGCCTGCCCTGCCCTGTGGGCTGGACAAGGGAATCTGGCAAAGCCAAGCAGGTGCTCAGTCAACGTTGTCTGATGGGCGGGCTGGGCAAAACCCTCATCCCAAACCCTGCCCAGGGCTCCCCGCCCCGCTGGCTGTCCTCCCGAATTTCCCAGGCAGGGTCAGCTGGGCTCCGGCTGGGCTGCTGAAGGGAGATGAGGAGGTGGGACCAGAGGGACAGGCTGGTGTTTGCCCCCTTCCAGGCCCTGGGCTCCAGTGACATCACCGCCTTCGGTCCCTCCAGGGGCTTCCTGCTGGAGTTAGTCTCTTGGTGACTGGCCTCACCTCTCCTCTGAGGCTCCGCCGTCCTCAACCCAGACTCACCAGGTCCCAATCATCCAGGTCCTGGGTTTCACTAATTTTTTTTATTGTGGTAAAATACAGAGAACATAAAATTTACCATTTTCACCATTTTGCGTGGACAGTTCAGTGGAACTGATTACATTCCCCATGTCATGCAACCATCACCTAATTCCAGAACTTTTCTTCAAACAGAAGCTCTGTGCCATTAAGTGGTAACTCCCCAGCCCCTCACCCCCACCTCAGGGGCTGGCCCTGGTACCCCAGCGAGGTCCCCAGCCCAGCTCTGGGCAGGGCCACAGCCCCCAGGTCACACACCTGTCCCCAAAACTGTGGCACAAAACCCCCACCTCCTCAGCTCGAACTGGGAATCACCCAAGGCTGTGCAATGGCCCACAGAGCAGGACACTAACCGTGACGCTCACGAGATGGTCCACCATGCAGTTATTACCCAGACGGCCAACTGGAGAGGACAAGTCCATGAACTGAACATTTGCATTGAGTTTGGTAAACAGAAAGCCTGTTTTATTGACTTGTTTTAGCTGCAGTAAAGTATATGGTTTTTTTTTCTTTGAACTTCTGTCGTTTGGTTAACGAACTCAGGTTCAACCGCTTGCCGCTGATCGAGAGACAAGGCTTGGCGGAAAGAAAAGTAGGATTATTCAAAATGCCAGGATTCCAGGAAGATGGTGGACCGCTGTCACAAAGGCCACCTTCCCCATGCCTAGAATGGTCAAGGGGGTTTTAGGGACAAGAAGAGGCAGAACAAGGGAAAGAGGGAGTTAGTCAAGCGGCTCCTTAGCGCTGAAGTCCAGGAGAACGTCTCCTGCGTCCGGTTTGTTCCACGATGTTTACCTTGAACCTGGTCCTAGGGGCGACGCACATGTCATCTGACAGAAAACGGCAGCCCAGAATTGCAGTCTGGTTGCCAGCATCCAGATGTCTGAGGGCTGAATCAGTTCCTTTCAAGTCAGGCTCTGCCGATTCATCAGATTAATGAGGTATGCATGTAGCCTCGAGAAAACCGTTATTAAATCAGGTAGGAGGGAAAAGAAAAAGAAACCAAATTTTTTAAATTATGAAAAGTACACCATTACCCTTACACTTTGAAAGCAGGGGATGCAGCTTCTTTGCACGGCAGCATCCTTAGGGGTGTGCGGCCCAGCAAGACCCTCTGTGAGTGAGTGGGGCTTTGTGGCAGCGCCCCCACAGATGGACAGAACATCTGTGAGCATGATGTGGGGGGTCCCAGGATGTGGGAGGAGTGTCGGGGTCTCTCCCTTTTTAGGGATAAATGAGATGAGGCTGGCGCCCGGTGACGGGCTGAGTAGTGAGGCCCCCCGCCAAGGGTCCAGCTGTGAGGGCTGGGCCAACCAGGGGAGGCCAGAGGAAAGCCCTCAGGGACCCCGGAATATTCTCTCCATCGCAGGGGACCGGCCGTGGCCTCCAAGCCCCTGCTCCTCCCTTTGAGAAGCTGCTACCTCCCCTGACCTGGTGCTCTGGCTCCTCGTGTTGATAATGTGCGTTTAATTAAATAATGAGGCGCAATGAGAGCCAGTGGCCTCATTTTCAGAGCCACAAATAAGAGAGATTTATGGGTGTCCTTGTTAAAGCAGCTGGCAACAAGCATGGTCCTGAGCTAAGAGAAGCCTCACGCTGTGGGCCTGCAGGGGGGAAAGCCCTTGATTAAAATGTATTGCCCCATAAAACAAGAAAAAATGACATTCAAAAAGGGGAGATGGAGGGTGCTGTGGGGGCCTGGCAGAGAACAGGCGGTGAAGTGGGCAGTGTGGGCAGAGCAGGCAGGGCTGAGGGCGGCCCCGGGGACTCGCCTCCTCCTCCGCCTGTCCCGGCGGCCACTCGCCTGGGTCAGAGCTCCCCTCACAGACCACCTGGGCTGCCTCCCACCAGCCAGGCTCCCCCCTTCTGGGGTGCAGAGTCCTGCTGAGAGACCAGAGCTCCCCAAGGCTGCCTGACAGCTTTGTCACCCCCAGTGCCCTGCCTAAGCCTGGCATCCCCAAAGCCCAGGACCCCTGCCTTGCCCTCTATGGCAGCAGGGCCTCTGGCCTCTGGGAGAAGTGGAAGGGCAGCAGGAAAGTGTCAGCCAGCAACGACCCAGTGAGAGCCGGGCAGGTCCAGGTGGAGAGAGGGGCGTGTCCCACGGCAGGGTTCAGGCTGAGACCTGGGCAGGGGGAGGGAAGAGATGGGGCCCAGTGGGAGCAGACAGGAAGAGCCTACTCCCATGGGAGAAGCCCCCGGGCAAGGCGCACACTGGCCCCGCCGGACTCCAGGCCCACCCTCTGCCCAGCCCGCCTGGCCGGCTCTGTGCTCCCTCTCTGCTGCCCTCAAGCCCAGGCTCATACAGGAACCATCTGGGCAACTGTAAGGCTGTGTGAGGGCAGGGGTGGCCCCTCTGTGCTGGCTCGCCTCCTCTGGGTGCAGGCTGGCCCCTGCTCACAGGCCACCACAGGCTCCAGCCCTTTCCCTCCAGTGTCCAGCTGCCCATCCAGGACCTCAGGCCTGGCTCAGGACACATCTGGAAACGATGGACATGGAGGTCAGCAGGGTGATCAACAGGCCACTGAGCCTCTGTCCCTTCATGTCCTGTTGATAGAGTAATAAGTCAATAAACCCCAGGGCGGGGAGTGGTGAGTCTGCAGCCCAGGCTGGGGGCCCTGGAGCCATCTGCCAGCTTCTGCAGGCCCCTGGCTCCCACGGTCACAGGTCCTGCGATCCACTCATGTCACACACCTAGTCCAACGCCACAGCGCAGGCGCCACACTCCATGCTGGGGTGGGAAGAATTTTTTGGAGTCACCAGCTTGTGAGCCACTAAGGTCCTGTCCCTGCCAACCCCACGGCCAGTGTGGGCTGGGGGGTGTGGGGCTGTGGGGGTGTGGGAGGGGCAGGGAGCCTAGGCTTCCTGAGAGGGGCCTCAGCAGCCACTCGAGAGGAAGAAAGGCGGTGTGGTCCCACCAGCTCCATTTCACATCCAGTCCAGTGGGCTCCACCTAAGACCGTTTGGGCAAAAAAATTCTGAAGCTAAAGATCCTGACCACTTGAACCTCTCAGCAACTGGGCAGTAACTGGGGCAGAGCACCCAGAGATGGACGTGCAGAGGATGCAGCGGTCTCTGCGAGAAGCCCAGAGCAGAGGCGCTCACCAGAGCCAGGCCTCGCTGGGCTCCAGGCCTCTGCCAGCACTTGCACCCCAAGAATCTTCACTCCTCCTGAGATCTCCAGAGGCGAGCCCCCACGGGGAGGAAGGGGTGCTGGCCTGTAAAGGGGAGAGGGAGGCACGCAAGGCGAGTCCTGCTCCCTGAAGCACCCCTTGAGCAGCAGCAGGGGTGGCTGGTTCTGGAAGAAGGAGACCCTGAGGATAAACTTCGCTCAGTTTGTACGCTGATGAGCGTTTATTGATCTGCAACAAGACACCAGGACAGGAGCAGGTCATGAGGGCATGACAAGAGCCACGGCCTGGGATCTAGGAGCACCAGCCAGGAGCCCCGCCTGCCAGGCCTCTCCCTGGCTCCACCCACCCGCCCAAGTCCTGCTGCTCAAGAACCGCTGGGCTGGGGCCGGCAGGCTGACTGTGGGGGCACCTCTCGCTTGGCATGCCCGTCCGTCTCCACGCGGCCACAGCCAAAGGCGAGGGCAGCCATGCTGATTCCACATCTAACTTCCTGTTACACCTCAAGCAGCTGCAACTCAATGGCGCGGGGATGCACAGGCGTCTGGGAGTGACACAAAACGACACGGAAGCACACGGGGGCACAGGTGTTACCCAGGCATGTGAAGGAAACGTGTCACAGCAGCACAGCATGGAGGCACTCCGGCCCAAAGAACCGGCAAGGAAGCTGCACACGGTCTGTGCGCGTTTCCCAGTCTTCATACATGCACCCAAAGCAGGGCACACGCTCCACGGTGCGGCGCCATGTCGGCAATGGCTGCCACCTGGGTGTCTGGAAAGCTGCACAAACACAAGAGAAACCCAGTGCGAACCAAACACTTGAGTTTCCTCGGCTTTCATGGGAACAAAGGTCCCCCCGGTGGAATAAAGAGCAAACAGATGAAAACTACACATCCACTCAGCTCCCATGACACTGACTTCAAGGGGATGGAATTCAAAGGCAAAGCAGTGAAAAGAACACAGAAAAATACCCCATGTCGTGTTCAAAGAGGAGGGTAAGTGCTGCCGACCCAGGGCCTTCTGTGACTACAGGTCCGGCCGCGAGTGAGGCAGCGCCACCGGGGAAGCTGTGAGCCGCCTACGAGACAGGAAGAATCACCATGTCTTCACACCCCGCCTTTACCAAACCAGCCAGAACAGCCAACTTTCCCCGGCAAGTCTCACCAAGGAGTGAACAACTGTGGGTAGAAATCCAACTATTGCTAGAAATCTAAACAGCTTGTTTTTCCTGTTCTTTGTTATGTATGTGCAAACCTAAGACTAATTTCTGAAGGCCTGATCAAGATTTATTCATGAGTGTGAAATTCTGAGGAACGGGGGGACAATGGACCATCTACTGGACTCTGAGCCAAGATGCTAGAAACACCACAGGTGGGCGATGGGCAGGCCTGGCCCAACGTTCCTGTTTGTTTTACAGAAGTCAGCGTGCAGCCCACATCTTGGGGTCCAAGCCCAAAGCACAGGATCTGCTGGCAACATGGAGGAACTTCCAGCAAAAACTCGTGCTGCTGAGCAAGATCACACCTGAAGCGGGGACACGCGAATAGGGTGGTCACAGGTTGCCTGTAAAGCCACAGCAGGGGACTTAGCTGACTCAAGGTCATAAACTGAGTCCCAGCCCGTGGTGAACTGCCCCTGGGGACTAACACTGGCATGGCAGCCAGCCCAGCAGACCGCGCCCCAAGGGGCAGGAGAGGTCGGCCTTGGGACATGCCAGCCTGTCAAATGGTGGCAGGTACTGCCATTGGTCGACCTAAAGGCCGACTTTTCTCCTCCCAGACAGACATCTCTACCCTCGGACACAGCAAGGCTCAGCCAGAAAACAGCAGACCAGAAACTGCCCGGCCCGTTCTGGATTCTAGCCACAGGATGCTCGGGTATGTTTTAGGTTTGGCGGACCCTTCCAGAACATCTCACGTTCATGTGGCACGGCAGGTAAGGGTTACTTGGTTAACCGGAATGCGAGGGGCTGGGCCGTGCACGTCTCAGCACCCACCCTCCTGGACAGCTCCCTGCCGGGGGCGTGGCCACGCAGCCACGTGGCTCTGCGCGCACGTCAGTCCTCTCAGTCCTCGCCGGCCAGCGGGGAGCCGGCAGAGGCGGCGCAGCCCCCCGCGCGCTCCTGGGGGGCCTCGAGCTTGACCCCGGCCCTCAGGGCCGGGCACCGCCGCCGCCCCTGCCGCTGCCGCACGAACACGGAGCGCAGCGCGCGCAGCTGCCCCACCTCCTGTGCGGAGAAGCAAGGCTGCGCCTCGGCAAAGCGGACCACGGCGTCAAAGGCCACGGCCGCCTGCTCCCAGGCCGCCTCCTCGCCCGCCCCGGCCCCGCCGTCCTTGCCGGCCCGCTCCGGGTGGCCGGAGGCGGGGCGCCCCCCTCCAGCCTCCTGCACAGGCCCAGCCCGCTCGGCCGCGCTCCCGTTGAGTCTGCTGCTCGGGCGGGACGCGGCCTCCCTCCCGAGCTCCAGGATGTGCGCGAAGGTCTGGTCGTGAGGCTTGGCTCTGAGGCGCTCGGGCTCCTCCTCGGAAGAGGAGCCTTCGGCCAGCGTCGCCGCGGGCCACAGCTTCCTCCAGGCCCGGCTGAAGACGTCGCCGGGCACCGCGTTCCAGGCGCAGGCCACACTGCAGATGGCATCGTTCACGTTGTAGCGCGGGTGGAAGCCCTGCGGCGCGACGGGCGGGTTGATGAAATTCCTCATGAAGTCTCGTCGGATGCCCTGGTCCATGGGCTGGATTAAGGAGGTGACGCTGGCGGGCAGGAAGATGGTGAAGATGTTGGCGGAAACCAGCTCGGACTCTTGCGGGTGGGCCCGGGAGCTGTCCAGCAAGAGCATGGCTTTGCTGTCTTCCGGCAAGCCCCGGGCGCGGAAGTGCTCTCTCACCGACGGCGCAAAGATATGATGGAACCAGTCAGAGAAAACCGCCCTGTCCGCCCACGCGTTACCGTGGGCCCGGTACGCCACCGGCAAGTGCTGGATGCCTCTGGAAGCCCGGGGGCCGCTGCATTTTCCGATCACCAGAGGCTTGATTTTGTGGGAGCCCGTGGCATTGGCACACATGAGGACCGTAAGCCTGTCCCTGTTCTGCCTGCCTCCGACGGGCACGGTCCCACCCTCGGCGGTGGGGCTCGGCAAGCACCGCCAGAAGAGGCCGGTCTCATCGGCGTTGTAAACCTGCTCCGGCGTCAGGCCGTGCTCCGAGGTCAAGCTCCGGAAGAACCCACAGAACTGCTCGGCCGCCTGGTGGTCGGCCATCTGCTTCTCGCTGGACGCGTCCAGCTTCTTAATGCCATGTCTGGCCTTAAAACGCCAGAGCCACCCGCCAGAAAACACGCAGGGTTCGGTTAGCCGCATTTGCTCGTAGAAGTCCTTGGCCTTCTCGATGAGCATGGGGCCCGAGACGGGCACGCCTTCGGCGCGCTTGCCCAGGAACCACTCGTACAGGACGCGGTCCAGGTGCTCGAGCTTGGGCGTGTGCAGCGTGCGCCGGCGTTCCAAGGCCTTGTTGCAGTCGGAGCTGGCGAAGAAGCGCAGCAGCTGGGCCTTGTGGGCCTTGATGTCGTACAGGGTGGACATGCCCACGTTGTACTCCTGCATCAGCGCCTTCCTGTTCTCGCCCTTCTCCAGGCGGGCGCAGATGTCCATCTTCTCCTTCAGCGTCAGCACCACCCTCTTGCGCTTCTCCCCGGGGCCCCTCCCGGCCGCCTGCTTGGAGGCCATGTGGGGAGAGGCTCGTCCCTCAGATGGGGGACATGCAGCCTTCCTGCCACCTCTCCCCTTTCCTCCTGTTCCCCTCGCTTGCCCGTTTCTCTCTCCACTCTGCCCACCCCGTTCTGCTGATCCTGGGCCACAAGCCACAGTGCCTCCTCTGTTCCCCCCTCCAGTTCCAGCAACCTCTTGCCTCAGCTGTCCCTCGTCTTCCAGGCTCTTAGCAACCTGGCCAGGAGAGAGCTCCCGGACCTCTCACGAGTCACACTGTCCCCTAGACTTCTCCACACTGTTGAAACCTCTGGCCTTCTCTGCAGGGACGGTGGCAGCTTCTCCCTTCAACCACAGACCAGGGAGTAGAGGGGCCCCAGGAGCTGGCTTCCGGTTAACCGAGGTTGTACTGTCTGAGCCAGCGGTGCCTCTCTCCAGGACTCACAGCGCTGTCTCACACGCATAGTGCTTTAGGAACTGGAAAGCAGAAGGGGAAAGAAAGAAAAATGTCATGGAGCGCAGGCCTAGGCTGCCTGTAGGCGTGTCCTCACCGGTGTAGACACACCGGGAAGCTGCAGCTGAAACAAGTGATGTAGAAACTTTCAGCACGAGCTGGTCAGTGACTGACCCCGTGTCCAAGGCTGCCTAGCTGTCTGCCCAGCCGCCAGAGTGCTGACACACTGGCTCTTGCCAGCTTCTACCAAGTGACTGGAGTCACTGTGGTTACTTCCAGCTGGACAATTCCATCCTTTTATAACAATTTCCCAGAACATCCCACACCCCTCCCTGTGCCACTGAGCAGACTTGCCCTGGCTCAGGGCAGTCTGTGAGAATCACAGGCCCCACCACACTTCGCCTGGTAAGACACCACCATCCTCCAGCCTCCGAGGACTGAGCTGTGGTCCTGACACTGACCACCTGGCTGGTCTGCTCAGAGCCTGTGGTTGCTCTGACAGTCCTGTCTTCTCCCTCACAGCCAGCTGTCCCCTGCCCTCCATGACTCAAGCCTCGAGCCCTCTCACCCCTCACCTGGGAGGGACTGCAGATAACCCAGGTAGCAGCTACAGTGAGCTTACTGCCACCCCTCGTCACGTCCCACAGTGAGAGGCATGTGGTACTCACAAGTGCACTTCTAGCTGTGACGCCCCACTGCACCCCACCCCACCCCCTCATTCTATCTGCTTCTTCCAACTTTGAGCAGTTGGTGAGGCCACAGGACGAGTCATACTTGGAGCACAAAAATGTGGCCCTTTGAGACCACAACTCAAGAGAAATGAAAAGTTTCCTCAAATGTAGCAAGAGCCCCAAAGACAAACCCTGGCCTGTCACCAGCCATCTCTGGGCACATTCTCGCACCTTTCCGAGTCAGCCTCCCGGTCTGCAAAGTGAAGGAAGGTGCTGGTCCTAGAGGGATGCTGTTTACATCCTATTTACTGGGTGTGACAGTGCGATGCTGTACTGTCTGGCCCTACGGGGAGCAGAGGGAAGTAAAGGCCACAATCCACCTTTAGGGAGATGTTTAATAGGAAACCAGGAGAAAACGGGAGCCCAGTCACTTGAGAGCCTGACTCGAAGCACCACAGGCAGGAGGCGGAAGGGCCCCGACGCTGGAAAAGGTGTCCTGCAGGCTCAGTGCCAGGAATTCACTCAGGACGGATGCTTCCTCACGCGTGATATGCAGGTGTGTGCAGGGCGGTACAAGACAGCTGAAAGCACGGTCATCCGGCTAGCGAGACAAAAACCGCCTTTAACATTAAAGTCAGGTATCACTTCTGAAACAAGTTCTTAACCCAAAAGTTACCATGACACACACAGCAAGGGAAATCACGGGGTCTCCAGCCTTGCCACGTCGAAGGAAGCACTGACAAGGACGCCACTTGGACTCCCACAGGCGTCAACATTATCCTCTTGTGCCCAAGGGACACACACACACAAAAAAGGAGGCGGGCACAGAGTGGGAGCAGGAGAGAACCGGGGGAGGGAGGCGCCCGTTCCCGCGTGGACCCCTCCCTGTCCTTAGAAGAGCCGGGGCGTTAGGGGAGGAGCGGTAGCGCGTACCGGGGAGAAATACGCAAGAAACAAGTATTCTGGGGACCGAGGAAAAGATGAAGTCTCGGGAGCAAGAGGTGAAGGGTCCTTTAGTAAGGGACGCAAACATCGGGGCGCGCACCCCGCAGGGAGAGCTCCTGGGAGCTGAGAGGCGTTGCGGGGAGTGGGTGTGTGTGTGTGTGGGGGGGGGTACGTACAAACACAAAGCCCCTTCTCCGTGGAGCACAGGGCGAGGGAACCCCGGGGCACCGAGACCCCGCGGGGGGCTGCAGAGGCTGTTCTGGAAAACGTCTCGATTGCAGGGCCATGTCTGGGGGCAGAAGCTCAGTTTGGGGACAAGGGCAAACCCAAAACAGGAAAACAGAAAGTCAGGTCCCGGTGGCTTCTTCCGGGCAAAGGAGGGTACCTCGGTGCCTGGCGCCTTCCGCAGGCGGAGCCCCGGGGTCGGGGCTGGGCACCGCGGCCAGGCTCGGGGCGAGGGCCGGGGACGAGGGCGGGAGCTGCACAGAGGGCTCGGGGCGGGCAGCTCGGGTCCCGGTCCCTGTGGGGCGGGGGATGGGGGGGCTCGGGGCCCGAGTCGGGGGGGTGCGGCTCCCAGGGGCGCCGCCCCGGCGAGAAGACCGGACCGCACGGAGCCCGCCCGCCTCCCTGGCCCGGCCCCCACTCACCTGCGGGCCCCGAGCCGCCGCCGCCGCCGGAAGCGCCGCCGGTCCGCGCCCCTCTACCGTCACCACCACTTCCGGGGCGCTCTAGGCGGCCCGGAGGACTCTCGTCTCGGTGGCTTCGCAGGAGGCGGTGGGGGTGCAGGCGGCGGGGAGACCGAAGGGCAGCCGAGGGTGGGCGTCGGTGGCCGCGGCTCGGACCCTGAGCTGCCACGTGTCCGCCTGTAGCAAGGGCGCGGGGGTGACTGGAGTCTCGGGTTTTGTGACGAGTGGAACCCTGTGCAGAAAGAGTTGGGGACCCTCACAGTCATGGGCAAGGGTGGGCGTGAGGGCAGGTAGGGCTCTGTGCCCCTCAGTCCAGGACGGTCTTTGATATGGGAGTTTCTGACGGGGGTGGGGGATGTTAAGACAGGGATTGTAGTGGCGTCAGTTAGTCCTTAATGTAGCTTAGGACTTTTTCAAATCTTTTTTTTTTCTTTCTTTCCTTGGCTTCCTTTCCACCAACTGTTAATGGTTCTGCTTCCTGTGTATTTACTGTGCATGCCAATTTGCATGTTTCTATTTACTTCAGCCCAGAGCTGGCCCTGGGACTTGGGAAGGGTTTTGCATCCGTGTGGGATCCACACCTGACACCGACTTAAATCTACGTAACATATACAAAGGTGCTGATAACCGGCTTAACTGCATATTTTCCACCCCAATTGACAAAGCGGAACCCTAGAAAACTCCACTACAGGCTGCAGAAATGTATACCCTGACTAGGAAATATAAACCTGTACGTGAAACAAAGACGGAGCAGTAGTTACTAGCGGACTGCCCAGCCCACCTTCTCTTCCTTGAATAAATCTTCTGTATTTCTACCTGACTTTGTGAATTCTTTCACGGCCAGCGAGCGAGCAGCCACACCAGAGACGGCAGCGAATTAGCCCCCTGCCCTTAGCAACAGGAATGGCCGATGTATTCTATTTTCTTCCCACCCAGCCTCTTACTTAGCTAGAACTTCAACCACACCTAATTTTGGTGATTTCCATGATGAGATTTGGGACTTTGAGGCTGGTGAGACTTGGGCGAGATTTGGACTTGAGTTGATGGTGTAATGAGTTGAGACTTTTGGGGACCTTGGGATGGGGCAAATATTTTACATGTGGGACAAATGTGAATCTGGGGACCAGACGCAGACTGTGGTGGGTTGAATAATGGTCCCCACCCCAGCTGTCCTGGTAAGACAGGATTGTAACGGTGGCACTAAATCTATTTTGAGATTTGGACCTCTGGTATAATTTGATTAAACAAATATAATTTAGCTTGGGACTTTTTGAAATCTTTCTTTTCTTAGACTCCTTTCTGCCAAACCTTAATGAGTGTTTACTATACATTTACTACACATACCAATTTCAGTGGTTTTATGTACTTTGGCCTTGCATGGCTGGCCATTACTTGGAGAGGTTTTTGCATCCGTACAGATCCACTCCTGGTTCCAACTTAAATTTACATACTATGCAAAGGTTGTGGTGACCAGTTTAACCTCACCTTCCCCAACCCCAACAGACAAAGACAAAGCTGAACCTAATAGAAGATTCCATCACAAGCCGAAGCAGAAGCAATTTACATCCTGGTTAGAAAATATAAAACTTCAGATGAAACGAAGACTTAGGAGGGCTGTGGTCTCTGGCAGACTCTGCCCAGCCGATCCACCTCTTAACTTTAGTAAACCTTCCTTCTGTCTTTCTACCTGCCTCGTGAATGCTTTCACAACTCTGCGAGCGAGCAGCCACAACGCAAATCCCCAGAACCTATGAATGGCCGCCGGGACTTTGCAGATGGATTAAGTTAAGGTTTTGGAGATGGGGAGAGTGTTCAGGATAATCAGTGTGTGCCCAAGGTCATCACAGGATCCTCCTTATAAGACGGAGGATGGAGGGTCAGAGTCAGAGAAGACAGTGTGACTGTGGAAGCGAAGGGAGAAAAGGAGACAGGACAGCAGACCAGGTGGCAGTGTGTGCTTTGTAGGTGGGGGAAGGGGCCCCCAGAAGCTGGAGGAGGCCAGGAAACAGATTTTCTCTCAGAACCTCCAGAAGGAACCAGCCTCGCTAACACCTTGATTATTAGCCCCATAAGACGCATTTCAGACTGCTGACCTCCAGAACCGTAAGTTACTAAGTGTCTGTTCTAACCGGCCAAGTTTATGGTCACTGCTTGTAGCAGCAACAGGGAGCTCCCCCCTCCTTTATAAAGATCCCTCCCTAGGCTCCCAGGACCGTCCCACCCCACCCCCACCACCCTTCCTCCTCCTCCCCCTCAGATTCCTAACTGGCCAGGTTCACTGCTTGCCTCTTTTCTCTCTGTCTACACCCACTCCCTGGTTTTACATACCAGCAAAGGCTGGCGACTCCCCAATTCTTGTCTCCTGCCAGGACCCCTCCCAAGAACTTGAAACTCCTAGATCCTACCTGTTAAGACAGAGGGATTGTAACGGTGGCACTAAGTCTTCTATTTTGAGGTTTGGATCTTTGGTATAATTTGATTAAACAAGTATAATTTAGCTTGGGACTTTTTGAAAGCGTTTTTCCTTTCTTTCCTTCGCTTCCTTTCCACCAACTGTTAATGGTTCTGCTTCCTATGTGTGTACTGTGCATGCCAGTTTTAATGTTTCTACTACTTCAGCCCAGAGCTGGCCCTGGGACTTCGGAAAGGTTTTACATCTGTATGGGATCCACTCCTGACTCCAACGTAAATCTACATAACATACGCAAAGGTGGCTATAACCGGCTTAACTGCACCTTCCCCCACCCCAACCAACAAAGCCGAACTCACTAGAAAATTCCACCTCAGGCCGAAGCAATTTACATCCTGGTTAGAAAATATAAAACTTGAGACCAAACAAAGACTCAATGCAGTAGTTTCCAGCAGACTCTGCCCAGCCGACCCTCCTCTGACTGTAGTAAACCTTCCTTCTGTGTTTCTCCCTGACTCGTGAATGCTTTCACAACCCGTGAGCGCGGACACGGTGCCCACATACCACATGGCTTTCTAAGCCACCTCAGACAGCGTTTCTAAATCTGAACCCTGACCTCCTCCTGCCCAGCCTCACTCCATCCACACACTCCCCATCTCAACGAGTGGCAACTTTCCGTTCACTCAGGCCAGAACCCCAGAGTCACCGTTGACGCTCTGTGTCCCTTACACCCCACAGCCAGCGGAGGAGGCACTCCGCTTGGCTCTGCCCTCCACAGCCGTGCTGGCCTCACTCGCGACAACTGCTCTCCCCGGTCCAGGCCGCCCTGGCCTCAGCTGCCTCCTCCCTGGTCTTTGCTTCTGCCCTTAAGCCCCTGTATCAGCCATCTGCTGCTGCACGACAATGTACCCCAAAACTTTGTGGCTTGGAACCAGCACCGTTTGGTTGCACGTGGTTCCCTGTATCGGAAATCTGGGTGAGTTAGACGTGCTTGACAGCGAGGAAAAGGGCAGGAGCATAACACACACATGAGCGGGGCTGGATGGAGCCCAGAACCCTCCCTTAGCGGGGTCTCCTGGGACAGCAAGGTTGCCCCCAGGGGGCCCAGCTCCATCCCTGTGACAGTCTGCTGCCACCTGGTGGACACGGGTCCACATGCACCGAACCCCAAGATGCCTGAGTCTCCCCCACGTGGACGGAAAAAGAGCCACAAGTTAAACCGGACAAGCTCAGGAGACTGAAAATCACCACATGGAATGGCGTGAATATAATAATTCCTAACTAAGGTGGGCCATGGCGGGAAGGTCACCCTTTAGTCTGTACCTTCCTTGACAAAGGTCAGTCTTTACCTTGAGTGAGCCTGTCTATTGTCTTTTTGCATCTAGGATAACATGCCCTTGGAATGTCAGTAATCCCTTTTTCCAGACCAGAGCAGGAAGCTATAGAATCCCTCATTATTTTTCTTGTCCCCTGATTACCATCTCTGTGTGCGTTAAAAAGTGAACTATTAACCCACCTATGTGAAAGAAGTACCTGTCCCTCCAATCCCAGAGGTTTCCCCGCTTTGCTTTCTCCCACCCCCTTCATCCACCACCAGTGGATTTCATGTAACCCTCCTCCTTTGATTCCTCCTTTGATCCTACGTATAAAATAAGATGCAAACTGCCATTTGGCAGAGCATTTTTCTCAATCCATTGAGATTTTGCTTCCCGGCAATTGCTCTCAGTTTGGCTCAAATAAACTCTTATAAGCGTTCTCTTAGGCTGGATGTTTTCTCGTCGACACCCAAATGCTCCTGCCATCGCTCTGGGACCCTTGGACCTCACCTCAAGGACTAAGTCCACTCTGGCAGAGGGAGGGATCCGAAAGGGGAGAAAGAAGACCACCCACTGGTGTCCCCTGGGGCCCAGCACTGTTGTCCCTCTGCCTGCAGCCCTTCGCCTGAAAGTGGCTCTGGACCCAGTGGAGCCCCTCCCCCAGACTCTGGAGGCCTCAGATGGGCACACATCACCAGCCAGCCCCTGGGGGGAAGATCTTGACATGATGAGGCTCTCAGCAAGAAGGGGGCTCCCCGCTGAGGGAGCTTGTAAAGCCCATGGCTGGCTGGTAGAGAGGGGACCCAGTTCACGTGTGGGACCGTGTGGTGGCCCCAGGAGTAGTAGTGGTCTATTGGCAAGGACCCCTGTGGGATGGGATTTGCTCCCAGCAGAGCATGACCTCTCAGGGCCTGGTCCAGCTGCTGGTCCTACTAGTGCTGCTTCACATCCTGGTAGGAGCCGGAAGCCAGGGCTATGGGAACAGCCAGCCCTCCAGGGAACCCGACAGTTTGGGCCCATGGGGATTGGGAGGGTAAGCGGAGGGCAAAGAGAGAGCAGGAAAACCTGGAGTCCTGGGAGCTGGCAGAGCAGAGGGAAGGAGGGGGCTCAGGGTGAGGCTCGAGGTCCAGGTCTGATTCTTCCTGAGGCTGGTTCCCCTCCAGCTGTGAACCTGTGTGCTTCCAAATACAGCGGTGGGACTGGTGGAGGGTGGGGGTCCCAGCGCGTCCCAAGCCCCGCATCAGTGTCACTAGCTCCTCAGGCTTTGGGGTTGCACACTTCCCTCCACACCCCTGGGGGTGAGGCTTTTGCCCTGAGGCTGTGCCTGACCCTGGGGCCGGATGATCCTGTGGGGGGTCCTGAGTAGCAACATTCTGGGCCTGGGGCTCCTAGGAGCCAGTTGCACCCTCAGTGGGGAAATGTCTCCTGGCTTGTCAAGTGACCCCTGGGGTGCAAAAGCACCCCCTGTTTGAGAACCACTGCTTTAGCTTTAGAGTAATCACTTCATATCAAATCAGATCAACAAACATTCACACCGGTCAATATTTGAGGAAGGAACGTTCCAGGCTGGTGCAAGGCGCTGGACAGATTAGGAAGGTCCGAGGCCAGAGCGCCCCGAGTGCCGTGAGTGTGGGGGAGGGGCGGGCAGGCAGGCAGCCACACTCAGAAATGGTGAAGTCACAAACATTTCACTTACTGTGTGAGGCACCTGAGCTTACAGGACTGTGGCCCCAGCGGGGTGTTTAGAGAGGAAGTTCTGGTGAGCACAGTGGGTGAGGAAGGTGTCCTGGGGGAGGGGCCACACTTAAGCAAGTTTCTGGTCCTCTCTGAGCCCCAGGGTCCTCACCTACGAAAGGGGAGTCAGTCGCCATTGGAAATAGCCCAACTTGGTAGGTGGCAGGCAGCTGGGCCGGGGAGACCTCAGGTGCGGCGAGTCCCAGGGTCTGGGTCTCGGGTCACCCTGGCCCACGCCACTGGCCCGCACTGCCATGGCATCTTGATCCAGGGCTCAAGGCGGGAAGATGGGAACCGCCCCTCCCCGAGAGGGACCCACCAGCCCCCTGGCTTCCTCCCACTGCCCAGGCGAGCTGAGCTGGGAGATGGAGCCTACTTCCCCGGGGCTCACCCTCATCAACATCCTCATCGCCCCAACATGCCCCAGGGCCCTTTCCCAGGGTTGGATCAAGGAGAAGGTCAGAGAAGCTGACCTCCCAGGTGGGAGGGGTCTGTGGCCCCCCCTCCCTCCCCAGACAAGCACTGGGCGCCGCCTGTACCCACCAGCACAGGGTTGGACACTCCAAGGAGTCATGGGGAGACTGTTTACAAAAGGAGTGTCAGGGTGAGAAGGACAACAGGAACCACTAAGGCCCCCAGGCCAACAGCAGCAGGAAGCCACTGGTCCGCTGGACTTAGAGGGAGAGAGGAAGGAACAGTTTATTACCAGAGGCTGCCGAGAGCCAGAGTGACTCAGCCACTCCCACCACATGCCAGCAGTCAGGGGTGGCCTGACCTCTGAACCTCCTGCCTTCCACTCACCAGCCAGTGGGAGCCCCATGGGATCCTAATAGGACCCCAGGACACAAAGCTGGGTGGAGAGTGAGTCTGGGGTCCAGACAGAGACTGTCCAGCCCACCCCCTTCCACCTCCGGCTGCCAAGGCCACTGGCACTGCACTGCCCCCGCGCCTTGGCAGCTGAAGTTCCACATGGCGTGGGGATTGTAAGGTCACGAGGGGTAGGGCCATTGCCTTAACTCAACACTCAACACTCCACACCTGTGCGCCTCGGCTGTGCCAGCACCCTGTTAACTTCCAGGGCACTTCCCCAGAACAGCCCCCGCCTGTGGCACCCTCTCTGTAGCCCACACCTCAGTACGTGCTGATACATCTGTGCCATTTGATTAGACGAGTCACCCCCCTTGGGACCGTGAGCCCCAGCGCGGCTCTTGCACGAAGCACAGCGGGGCTGACCAAGGGAGATGCCTCTCAACCTTAACTGAGAGACTGAAGGAGTGAAAGCGTCTCATGAAAAGTGGTCTCCCTTCTCCAGCCATACTGCCCGCTCTGACATGGGTGGAGGTTGGTTCTGGGGCCTCATCCTGAGGATGGGTGAGAAATGGCTGAGTGTAGGGAGAGTGGCCCCTGCCCTGGACAGGGTACACCCTGGAGGGGCAGCTGGAGATTGGACTCTTCCCAGCCCCAGGCACTGCTGGCCCCAGGAAACTCGACCTTGTTGACAATCAGCAGTGGGGCCTCCCCTTTTCGGCCGAAGCGATATAAAGCCACCCTGAAGTCCCCTCCGCACTGCCTGCCCGTGACCATGAAGGCTGTCCTTGTCGCCCTGCTGGCTGCTGGCTTGGCCCTGCAGCCCGGTGAGACCCCAGCCAGCCACGGGGGCAGGGCCAGGGGAGCAGAGCTGGGGTGGGGGCATTGGAGGGAGGCCAGAGGGGTAGAAAGAAGAGGAGGAGGGCGGAGGGACAGGGAGAAGGGAGGTGGGGGAAGGAAGGGCTTTCACCTGGACCGTGTCCCCTCCGGGGCAGCTCTTAGTACAGCCCAGATGCAGAAACCATTCGCCAGATCGCTACCCCGAGCTGCTCCTGAGACAGGCAGGCCAGGCAGCCCAGGTTTCTCCCCGTCATCACTGGAGCAGGGCCAGGCTTCCGTCTCACCTCCAGGCCTGGCTCGTTCTCTCCGGGCCCAGGGTCCCTGGGTGGTCACTGAACCACTCAGAGCCTCAGCTTCTCTTCTGGAAAGTGGGGATCATGACAGTGGCCCCCAAGGCCACTGGGGTTCGGCCTGTGTGTAGTGCCTGAGCACAAGGCTGGCAGCACGGAGCCTGTTTGCACTCGGGTGCCTTAGGTCCCAGCTCCATCACTGTTTTGACCAGAGGAGACAACTACCACGACAGCCGAGGCCACTACCTCGAGGGACAGAACAGGACCCAGTGGGGCCCACCCGTGATCTCACAGCACCGGGGAGGCTTGGAGGGGCTGGGAGGCCGGCTGGGCTTGCACAGGCTGTTGGGGACAAGGACGGGAGGGCGTCGGTGCCTGGAGGCATGTGCAGTTCTGGGAATGGCCCGGAGTCCAGCAGGCTGCTGCCAGCGGAGGTCAGCCAGTACCCACACGGGGCTTCTCAGCCCCTTCCCTCTAAGGAGCACAGGCATTGTATCAGAGCTTTAAAATCCTAAGGGGTGGGCTGGGCACTAAAGGTGGATTCCAGGTGCTGTGACAGGAAGTAGGCAGAGAGGCCATCTGGGTGGGTTTGGATCATGGCCGTGCCGCCTGGTGAGGGGCGTTCAGGTAAGGGGCAGGACAGGCTCTTGTGTCCTGCACATTCCCAGCTCCTGGAGGGCGTCTGACAGTCTGTCTCTGTCCCTGTGGCAGATGAGAAAAGGGGGGTCTTCCTCCCACCCCGTGGGACGGCAAGTGTGGCAGCCTCTGAGCCCCTCCCCACCTCCAGGCACCGCCCTGCAGTGCTACTACTGCAAGGCCACGATGGACAATGAGGACTGCAAGCAAGTGCAGAACTGCACCCTCTCGGAGACCCAGTGCCAGACCGAGCGCATCCGTGAGTGGCCCTGCTGCCCCCTAGTCTTCCTGGTGACCCTGCCCAGAGTCTCCCTGGGTGGGATGTGGGCCTGCCCTACCTCTTGTGCCACCCCTTAGACTCCCTGTGCCTTCCCTCCACCAGCAGGAATCCAAAGAACCTGGGCTTGGGTCTCTGCCACTGAGCTGAACTGTGCATCCTTCTGGCCACCTGTCATCTGCCCACTTGTTCATCTATCCACACATAGACACAGACACAGGTGCTCAGCTTCCCATGCCCCCATCCACCACTCATCCATTTATCATCCATGCATTCATCCATGCATCCCCCAATCCATTCTTCACGCATCCATCCATCCCCTCACCCATCCATCCATCCACCCATCCCCCACCATCACTCATCCGTTCATACACTCCCTCACCCATTGCTCATTCACTAACCCATCTATCCACTCATCCCCCATCCGTCACTCATCCATCCATCTCCACATTCACTCAATCATTACACAGGTCTGGCTGCCCTGGGCTTGGGGACCTGGATGAGACCAGGCCCCTGCCCTCACACTGCTTGTTGTCCTGAGGCTGACCCAGGGTGATCTACAGTTTCAATTAGAGGGGGGCCATGAGGGCTGGGGCAAGGCCAGGTGGGTGAGTGTCCAGGACCAGCCCCAGCCCAGTGGTCCCCCACTGCCAGGTGCTATTGGCCTGACCATCATCAACAAGGGCTGTAGCTCGCACTGTGAGGAGGGCTTGCAGGACGACTACCTGGGCAACAGGAATGTCACGTGCTGCTCCACCAACCTGTGCAACACCGGTGGGGGGGCCCACGCCCCACAGCTGGTTGTCATCACCCTGCCGCCGCTGCTCACCACCGTCCTCAGCCTGCTGCTCTGGGGTCCGAGCCAGCTGTAGGCTCCAGGAGCACCCAGCTGTGTCTCACGCTGGGGCACTCCTCATAAATGCCCAGCCCAGTCACAGCCCTTCCCGAACCCTGGCTCTGGGGGTGCCACAGCCCCTCTGTCCTTTCCAGCCCTCCCAAGACTCCCGCCTGCTCCCACTGCCCTGCAGCCTGGGCTCTAGTGATGCGGACCTGCCTGAATATGGCTTGTCTGGCTCCTGGGCCTCAGTGCTGTCTCCACTGCCCTATATTCCGACCCACCCCTTAACCCTCACTCCGGCACCTCTTCCTCCAGGAAGCCTTCCCGGCCTGCCCCCTCCCTAGCTGAGCCAGGCCCTGCCTGTGATGCCCCCCGTACCCAGCATGAAGCAGACACTCAGGAGGGTCCCTGCAACGATGGAGATGAAATGTACCAAGCAGAGCTGGAGGGAGGGGTGTGAGGTCCCAGGTGCCCCAAGAGTACAGCCTAGAGGCACGGCCAGCTCCCCACCATTGTGCTCAGCAACCCCAGCACACAGTACACCCTTAATAAAAGCTTATTTGTTCAGTCGCACAGAGCGTCTGTCCTTGCACGCCCTCAGATCCGAGTCAGGGTTGGGGTCCAGGGCTGTGTTGGGTCATCACCTGGACCCACCTTGGTGGCTGTAGCCACATGGGGTGGAACTCTGGCCTGGGCAGGAGTAAATGTCTGACACCTAGAAGGGAAGACATTGCTGCAGAAGGCAGGGCAGCGTACCTGGGGACTCCCAGCTTTCGTTGTATGGCCTTAACTAAGTTGCTCAACCTCTCTGAGTCTCAGATGTTCACCTATGAGCCCTCACTACTGTGAAGACTGGCCCAGAGACTGCACAGAGCACAGAAGTTTCTCATGGAAGGGGCTGCTACCATGAGAGACACTCCCTGTTACTTACATTTTTTATTTTGTTGGCTTTAAGTGTTTTACACTACAGTAAGAAATCCAAACTATACAAAAGGGTCCCCCGTGACTGGCTGGCCTCCCCCGACTCCTTACCAAAGGTCCCCCACACCTCCTGGGGCTCCTTCTGGGGTAACCGTGGGCCTATGGCCAGCATCCCACACACAGGGAATCCAGAGCCGTGCCATGGCTCAGGCCTTTTCATGCCTCAGAATCCCCTCTGCGAAGAGCCTGCCTCCCCGCCCCCCCAGGGTGCCAGGCTGAGGGAGGGCAGCCTGTGCCAGGGTGGGGACCTGCACAGGACTGCATCTGGCCCTTGTCATGTACTTGGTGGTGGGTGAGGCAGCATGGAGCCCTGGGGTAGAGGTGAGGTGGAGTCCGGATGCTGACTCACACCTAGGCCAGAGGCCCAGGGACCCCCATCCAGCCCAGCATTCTCTTGTGTGTGTCCTCAGGAGGTTTGCCACCCTCCTCTTGGACACCGGGTCCCCGGGTGGCAACATCAGGAGGCTAGAGTTCTTTATGCCAGCACCCAAGCGACCCCCGAGTGTTGACGGTTCCCCCCATCCCCCACCAACTCCGGGGCCTGTCCTGCCTGCCTGGCTCCTGTAGGGGAGCTCTGGGCTCCGGCCTCTCCTATGGTCGCCTCTCTGGGGCCCAGGGCACGTTCAGCACAGACCTGGCTTGGCCCTCATCCAGGTCCAGGGGCCAGGGCTGGGCCTTTGCTTTCTGGGGGCCCCCGGCACAGCTTCAGGCCCATCAGCCAGAGGGTGGCACAGGACCTGGGGCTAGACTGAGGCTACACTCGGTTCCTCGGGCTCAGAAGCTCTAAGCCAGGAGGGTCCCCTGGCAGAGGGAATCGTGTGTGCTTTTTGTGTGTGTGTTGGGAGGCAGCGTGGACAGCAAAAGCTCAGAAGGAAGCAAGGAGGCAGAGCACAGGCTGTGAGGAGGAGGGGCCAGGCCTTCACTGATATCTCCAGAGCAGGACCTCCAGCTGCAGGCCCCTCCCCTGGAAGATGGGACAAGGTGGATGACCAAGAGGCTGCACTCTCAGAGCGGCAGACAAGGGGGACAAAGAGACTGACATGTCCTTCCAGTTCCCATCCTGGACACACAACTCTGAGCCAAGCCATGGCAGCAGAGCATTACAGACGAGCGTTAGTAACTGTGGAGAAGGCTCTTCTTGGGCAGCTGGACCTGCCCTGCCAGAAACTGAGCTCCCTGTCCCTGGAATTATGCGAGTGGATCCAGGGACCCAGGAAAGTCCAAATCCCACTCTTTCCAACTGCTGGCCCCAGAAGCAAAGTCAGAAAAGCAAAGAACACAGTCTCTGCCTGATGGTGACCGATGCCCGTGCAGCTGCCCAGCCCTAGCTTTGGACGGTGGCACAGGGCTGCCGGGAAAGCTCCCCCTTTGAGACGGAGGTCAAGAACCCTGCCACCTGATCCCAGGCCCAGTGTGGACTGGACTAAAACCCAGTTGTATACCGGCCCAGCTGCCACCGGATGCGTTCTCAGAGATAACCCCAGACGGCACAGCAAGCACTCAGGAGCTCCTTAACCACCACCGCGCCCCACTCCAGGACTCCAGCCCAGACCTAAGAAAGCCGCCTCTGGGTCACTGGCAGACGCTGTCATTTGAGAACCCTGGGGTCTAGCTGGAAGAGCTGGCCTGGTCTTCTCTGGGCTTTTCCTCCCCAGCCTGGTAAAGAAGAGGGACAGGACACCCGTGGGTGTGCTACGGTCTGCTGGGCCGAGTCCCAAGTTCAAGACATCTTTGACTCTACTGCTGAGTCACTGACATTCACCACCTCCCCTCCTCCACCCCACAAGTTATTTGTTCCGGTTTCTAAAGGGCAAAGGGTGGCAATGCTTGGGGATGAGCTTGAGGTGATCAGGATCTTTGGGGGGTAGGGGTGGGTGTGGGTGGGGAGGAGTAATGAAGCTACAAACTGGGACTGAAAGGCGTATTGGGGTCAGGTTGTGATGCGTCCTAAATCTGCAGCATACGCATTAGGGCTGTCGCCCTGCGAAAGCGGCGAGCCTCTGCAGGTTCAGGAGCAGAGGAGGGTCCGTTTCCAATCGAGTCTCCAAGCAGCGTCCCAGGGGACCCGCTGTGTACACTATTTCTCTTACAAAGTCCCGCCTGGGCCGAGCAAGTGCTGGAGCCTTTGACTCTGCTCAGATCAGGGCCTGAATCTCCAAGGCCAGTCCGAGTCTTCAAGGCCCAGGGTAGACGCGTGGGGCTGGCGCTCCTGGCGAGGGTGGAGACTGGGGGCGACCCCGGGCGCTCCTGCGCCTGCAACGCGGAGCCAGACCGCCAGATGCCGCTGTGGCGCTCCGAGCGCGATCCTGTGCCCCGCCCTCCGGGGGAAAGCCAAAACCGCGCCGGCGACGGGGCGGGACGGACCACTGAGGGCAGAGGGGAACCCGAGGCTGAGAGAGGCCTACAGCTCCTGCAGCCGCAGACACATTGCCCCCTCTACCGGCTTCGCGAGGTGGTTCGCTCCGGCTGTGCAGCGCTCGCGGGTTCCGGGGCTGACAGGCAGCAGCGCAGCACGCACCGGCTGGCACCAGCGTCACAGACTCCGCCGCGATGCTGGGGCTGCTCGTGGCGCTGCTGGCGCTGGCGCTTGCCTACTTCGCGCTGCTGGACGGATGGTACCTGGTGCGTGTCCCGTGCGCCGTGCTGCGCGCGCACCTGCTGCAGCCGCGCATTCTAGACCTGCTCGCCGATTCCAGCTATGTCGGACGCGTGCTGCCTTCGGACTTGGACCTGCTGCTGCACATGAACAACGCGCGCTACCTGCGCGAGGCTGACGTGGCGCGCGTCGCGCACCTGACCCGCTGCGGCATCCTCGGGGCGCTACGCGAACTCGGGGCGCATTCTGTGCTGGCCGCCTCTTGCGTGCGCTACCGCCGCTCTCTGCGCCTGCTCGAGCCCTTCGAGGTGCGCACCCGCCTGCTGGGCTGGGACGACCGTGCCTTCTACTTGGAGGCGCGCTTTAACAGTCTGCGCGACGGCTTCGTGTGCGCTCTGCTGCGCTTCCGCCAGCACGTGCTGGGCACCTCTCCGGAGCGCGTCGTGCAGCATCTGTGCAAGCGCAGGGTGAGCGCCCCCCCCCCCGCCCCGGATGCAAGCCCCCCGCGCGGCCCTGAGGACTCCTGGAAAAGGCCCACTCCCTTGGAGTGCTCCTGTCCTACCGCGCACCATCCCAGTCCTTTCCTTTGGGCTCGGGGCCTCCTTCACTGATGCTTTTCTTTTTGGGAGCTCTCTGGGTCCCCGAATGAACTCTCCATAACTGGACTTTGCATGCTCCCCTCCTGCCACTTCTTAACCTGGCCCGTCAAGGATCCATGCCCCACAGGCCACCTTTTCCAGAACAGGGAAGCCCAGACCAGGCCTCTCTCAGTAATCTAAGCCCTGGTACCGCTGTGTGGCCTGGAGTGTGGAGCCACCCTCTCTTGGCCTTGGTTCTGAACATAGGGTGTGTGTGGGGTGGGGTGGTGCCAGTGAAAGGAGGTTGCTGGGAGTTCTGAAGAACCTGAGACCCCTGTAAACACAGCTGAGAGCTAAGGGGCTGGGTCGCCATCACCTGGGTTTGCTTTTTCCAGTTGAAGAGGCCACAGCGCTGTCTGGGGCTCAAGGCCCCGCCCAGCACAGCACAGCTGGCTACCACAGCATGGCAACCAGGCTCTGGGGACTGCTAGGACATCGCTGCGGTAGTGGTTGCTAGGGCAGGCTCCTGCTGCAGACGGGGTCTTGAAAATATGCCTGGAGTTTCCATACCCAAGCCGGGGCCTGTCCCAACCCCTTAGTGCCCTCAGGCAGGGCGCTGCCCTCTGTAGCCATGGATAGGCACCTCCTGAGCAGAGGAGGGACACAGCCTCACCTTATTTGGAAGGAGCCAGCCTTTCCCCGTATCAGAGGTGGGGAAACTGAGGCTCAGAGAGGTGATGGGAACTGCTTGATGCTGCACAGCAGGTCACAGGCACAGCTCCCTGGTTTCCTGTCTCTGTTGAGCCAGGAACACCTTCAAAGGGCCTGGGTCTGCCCCCATCCCTGTAGGGACGGAGATACTCTAAGTGCCCCTTCATGTGTCAAGAAGCCAGGACTGGGACAGTGACTGGCCATCGAGGTGTAAATCGATGGGCCGAGAGCTGGGACCACAGGCAGAAGGGAGGGGAACCAAGGCAGCTTTGCTGCAAGGGAGGGTCTCTGGGGCCGATGGACGAGATCCACGTGAGGGATGAGGGGGTGACAACATGACAGGGCAGGGACACCTCAAGAACACCCCGCCATAGACTGGAGGGTCAGGGGATAGCCTGGAGTTGCCCGGGTTTCCAGCCTGAGCCCCTGGGTCAGGGAGTCCCAGATGGACCCTCGGGTTTCGTTTGGGGCAGGCTGAGTCTAGTGCCCAGGGGACCCGATGCTGAAAGCCTGGTGTGGGCCAGGGTGGTCTTCCGGGCAGAGCTGGGCTGGGAGGAGAGTGCTCCCGACAGTCAGGCCTGGACATGGAGCAGAGCCCAGGCCCAGACTTGCCCTGTGATGGGGGCAGCTCCCTTGTCTACAGGGAAGGCTGGGGCTCCAGCTCTGAGCACCTTTGCCCGGCCTCCTCAATGCCCGAGTGGGTGGGCATTCTCCTGGGGCTTTCGCCTCAACCCTGGGAACTCTCAAGACCTGTCTGCAAGGCTTCTCACCCCTCAGGCCTAGCCCAGCATCTCACCTGCCACTCCATCACAAAACGGTGGCCCCGCACGCAGGCAGGCGGCTGGTGTGGCTGAGGGAGCAGGGTTGGGAACGCCATGGTCATGCCCAGAGCTGACCTGGGGACAAGTCCAGAAAGAGCGGGGCTCACACAAGCCCCTGTCCAACACTCTCCCGGCAAAGCAGCTCTGACGGCCACCTCGCCACCCCTGCACCCCCTGTTCAGTCTGACTCTGCAGGCTTCTAGCTCCCTCTGGGTCCCCCTGTCTCCTGCACCCCTCTCCAACCAGCTGGCCTCGGAGGTTTTTACCTGGGTTCTGGGGATACACGGAGGGCTCAGGCATGGCTCTGTACGGGAGAAAGGCCTGATAAAGGAGGGTGGCGTCTTGAGAGCTAGGATGGAGGAAATGTAAACACCAAGGGCCCAGGAGGGTAGGGGGACGCCTGGGAGAGGAGGAGGACGCCTGGGCCTGGGGAATTGCCTTCGTACAAGGGAATAGCATCAGCAGAGGCCCAGAGGTGTGAAGGCTGTAGCCGTGCTGGCTGCCTCTCCCTGAAGCTCTGCTCGTCCCCGTGGCAGTGGGGGGCCTGTGGGAGCCTCACTCGCCTCTGCCCCCTACAGGTGGAGCCCCCCGAGCTGCCGGAAGACCTACTGCTCTGGATTGGCTACAACAAGGCCAGCAGCCAGCTGCTCCGGGCTGAGAATGGCTTCGAAGACGCCGTCAAGGACCAGTGACCACCACTCCCTGCCTGCCAGCCTTGACCTGGGGGCAGTTGCGCACCCGTCCCCACCTGCCAGGGGGCAGAGAATGCAGAGCGGGCTGGCCAGGGTGGGCTCTTTCCCAGCTGGAGTGGCCTTGTGACAACTCAGCCCCCTTCACCTGCTCAGCCTCCCTTCCCCTTCCCCGTTAGTGATGCCCCTCCCTACACTGAGCATGGGATGGGGTGACATGGGCACCCTGATCTGTCTCTGTCCTCAGGGTGGAAATGATGGGCACAGTGGGTGGCCCTTGGCATGTGGGCTGCAGGGTGGGGAGGGCCCAAGTATAGAGTGCTTGGAGAACAGGGACCATCTAGAGCAGCGGTTCTCAACCTTCCTAAGGCCGCGACCCCTTAATACAGCTCCTCATGTTGTGGTGACCCCCAACCATAAAATTATTTTCGTTGCTATTCTATAACTGTAATTTTGCTACTGTTATGAATCGTAATGTAAATATCTTTTTGTTTTCCGATGGTCTTAGGCGACCCCCAAAGGGGTCGCGACCCACAGGTTGAGAGCCGCTGATCTAGAGCCACCCTGAACAGCAGAGCCCGCAGTTGGAGCTGCATGGGGGGTGCCAGGGGTGACGCCAGAGCCGTCCTGGGGGCAGGGCTGGGGCATGATGCAAGGAACTGCCAGCACCTCAAGGCAGATGGCTTTGTGCCTGTGAGGGAGGGGCAGACCCTGGGCAGAGTCTGGAATGTCAGGAGACCAGGCCGACTGACTGAAGGGTACTTAGGAGGGAGGCCTGGCTACCTGGGCTCTCCTGGAGTGGGGACAGCTTGCAGCTGAAACTTGTGGCTGGAGGCTGTGCGTGCAAGTCAGGCGGCATGGGGCTCCTGTGGAGGTGGTGAGCTTCCTGTGGTTAGGGGTATCCGAGTCAGGAGTTGCTGCCAAGGAGGGAGTAGGATTCTGCCAGGGTGCTCTCTGCACCCCAGCCTCGCCTCTGCATCCCTCAGTGCCCATAGGACTGTGCTGTGTGACCCTGGGTGGGGCCCTGCCCTCTCTGACCCTCCCGTTGGGCTGTCCTTGCCTCACATCTTATCCTGCTGGAGATTTTTCCTTCCTACTCTGAGGGGCTGCCTCTCTAGATGGACTGGGGAGGGGTCTTGGCTTTGCTCCAGTGGCCTGTCCTGGCAGCTGCTCTCGGGGCTCCGTGATGGAGTCACCGGCCGCATTCGCCCACTCCAGCCTAATCCCTCTCTTTCCAGCTGGAAAAGGGAGGCCTGTAGAAGCAGGCTGTGGCCCAGAGCCTCAGTGAGCAAGAAAGCTCCAGCCTGGGCTCTGCCCGATGGCTTCAGCTCCCTGGCTGGCTGGGCACACTGGGCTCAGAGCTCCGGAGGTGTGACTGCCGCCACGCACGTGTGTGGCCACCTGCTTGTGCCCCTGCACCTGCCCCACCGGCCCACAGGGCAGGCCAGAGCAACTGGGGCCCGGAACTGCCTCCTTGCCACCCCCTCCAGGAAGCCCACCACCAGCTAGCCAGGAGCACAGCAACACCGACTCCTCACCTGTCCACACACAGTCGCCTGCCTTAAGCCACCATGGGAAAGCTGTAGCGTTGCTCTTTTATTTCAAGAAAGCCCAAGATTAAAGGGTCTTAAATGTGAGTGTGCCTGGGGAGGACCTCATTTTGAAGCCCTGGCCCCCAGGGAAGCAGCAGACACTCACTGGGGTGTGTTCTGGCATGGGGGCAGTTCAGGCTTGGGCTTTGGTGAACTTAGGGACCAGGCTGGCAGGACAGGACTTGTCCCCATTCCACAGAACATGGGTTGCTTCAGCCCCCTTCCAGCTCCTGGCCCTCTCCTCATCCCCAGCCCTTGAACCTTGCCGACCTGTCTGTGGATGCCTGGCCCAAGTTTCCAGTTCGTTCCCAGGGTCAAGTCCCATGATCCTCAGGAATGCTTGGGAGGTCACACCCCAGACTCTCTGGGTCTGGGCCTCCGGGCTCCGGGGGGGGGGGCGTTTCAAGTGTAAGGGCCATTCTGCAGGCCCCTTGAAGAGGGCAGAACATAAAGCAGGTGAAGTGATGGGGGTATGGGCCATGCCCGTGCTCTGACCACCAGCCCGGGAGGTCCCAGCTCAGGCCTGGGAAAGAATGGACAGTTGGAAACAGTTGGGTTTGCAACAGGCGTTCAGTGTTGGAGAAGAGGGGCGGGAGGGGCGACGTGGCCTGGCCAGGGTTGCATGGCAGGTCAGTGGTTTGCAGCCAGTGCTGTCCAGGCTGCGTCCACCTCCCAGGGCAGCCTGAGAGCAGAAGTGACCTGGCCTTGTGGGCTGAGGCAAGTTGTACGGGACTGCGGGAGGGTTGCAAGGAAACACGAGGAGGTGGTGGTTTGCAAAGGGAGACTGGTTACTATAAATCAGTAGGGCCGCGTGTGCCAGCGTGGGTATGGCAGCAGAGGCGGCCCTTTGGAGGCCTGTGCCCTGTGACTGGGTGTGCTCACGAGCCACTGACCCTGCACCCCGCCCACACACACACACACACTTGCTTTCATCTGTAGACCAGGCAGAGGATTGTGTGCCCGAGGGCGGCTATGAAACCTAGCAAGTGGGGGTCAGTGGAGGTAGACGTGGAGTGGTGGTGACCGGCTGGGCGTGCTGAGACAGGCTGGTCTGGGTGCAAGGATGGGAAACACTGGGTACTGTAAGGGGAGGCTGCCTGGAAAGTGTCAGGAGCAGAGAAGGCGAGGGTTGGCAGGAAGGGCACTCCAGGTGGGAGCAGCGGCCGGGAGGGGGCCCACAGCCTTCCCTGTCGGGTGTGTCTGTTGAGGCGCGAAGGCCAAGTGACTCCACATTGCAGGTGAGGAGCGTGATGGGTGACTGAGGACTGTTCACCCCCTTGCCCGAGTCAAAGCTCAGAGTCAGCCTCACAGGACAGTCCAAGACAGCACCTGCCCTTGGTCTGCCCTCTCCGGGCGGATGGTGGCCGTGCTATGCAGTCGATCTGTGCTGGACACATGGGTGTACTCAAGGGCCAGCGGTGGAGGTCACTGGGCTGTGAGGGTCCTGCCCCTCTTGGGAGCTGGCTCAGGACCACAGAGCCCTTCAGACTGCAGACCTTGCCCATAGGAAGCAGAGGTGTGGAGTTCCTGGGGTCCCAGGGATAAGGGGCCTCCTAGGCCACCAGTCTCTGCGCAGTGGCATGGGGTGCCACTCAGTGGTGCCTGGCCGTGAGTCCCTCGCCCCGGGAGAGACCTGCTTCAGGTCCCGGCTGCTCCCTCTCTCCATCCAGGAGCAGGAAATCCATGAAGGGGTGATAACTGACAGCTAAGGGGCTCTCTGGACTCAGGGCTGTGGGTTAGGGGACCCCTGCCATGCTAGAAGGAAGGCTACCCAGCCCTGTCTCCGCTTGGCTGGAAATGCTGAGTGCCCCTCCCAGGACCCAGAAGACCGACTCACCCAGGGGCCTAGAGAAGCTGCCAGAGCAGGAAGGGGCAGGTCTCAGAGTGGACAAAGGGCCTCTGCCAAGTAACCCCTGGTCAGGCTGGGGCCTGTCTCCTGCCCTCCCCGCTTCCCGCCTCCCTCAGGCAGCCCTGGGAGGGGCCAGCACTGGGTAGGAGGGCTGGGTCCCTTACTGCGTGTTTAGAGTCCCATGTAGGACCGTGTGTAAATACGCGCACATATGCACCGAGTCAACCCAGACACAGGCCCAGGCAGCCCTCTGGGGACGAGGGGCCTGTTGGACAGGTGACTGGGGAAATGGTCTGGAGAGTGGTGCTGGCCCAAGTCCAAGGTAGAGTGAAGGTCCTCTCTGCACAGGAGCTTGGGTTTCCCTGGACACTCAGAGCAGGGCCCGGGTGGACTTTCTGGGGTGAGCCTGGAGTAGGCAAGTAGTGGACACTCACAGATGCCCCGCCAGCCTGTCAGCACCCTCTGCCACGTGTCACAAGGGGACCACATCACCACAGCATGACTACAGGGTAAGGCCTTGCTCAGGGGCCAGGTGGATGGGCAGTGGGGTGCTTCCTGGTGCCACCCCAGATCCTGGGCCACTCTTGGCCTGCCTGGACTGGCCTGCGTGGCCTGGCACGTCCCCCTCTACCTAACCAATCTCTCTGCCATTCAAGGCCCTGCCCTAATGCCCCCTCCCCTGAGAAGCCACCCGTGACCCTACCCTGGTAGGTGTGGTGCTCCCTCTGCACATGGGGTCCCATTCCTGCCCCGCCCCAGTCAGGCCTCCGCAGCCCCTGAGGGCCCAGAGTGCAGAGTGCTGCCTGGTCTGTGTGGGTGTCATCCCAGACCCAGTGACTGTCCTCGCTTACCACAGGAAGACAAGGGAGGCAGGTGGGGACAGTGACACACATGAGAGACAGCTGCAGAGGGCATGGGAGACTGGGCAGAAGTAGACGGGGAGGTGGAGGGGCTGAGGGGGACACAGGCCTAAGATGACAGCACCAGAGACGCAGGTAGAAGCCCTCCACCCCAGTGGACAGGTCCGAGCCCGGGAAGGAGACAGGAGGCCTGGTGCAGGTGGGCCAGCTTCTTCAAAGGCAGGAGGGGCTGCATGGGGTGGGGGTGGGGGTGGGCTCTAGAGCTGGAGGCTCAGGAGGGAGGTGAGTGTAAGGGTGAGGGCCAGGCCATGGGGGCTGCCCAGGGCCGGCGCCCCGTCCAAATTGCACAGCTCCGTGTTACAGCAGAGCACGGGCCGCGTCAGGCCAATGCCGTCCACATCTGAGGGCACGCACTTGCTGGCGCAGGACTTGGTCACCGTGACGTCCCCCAGGAAGGGATACACTGTGGGCACGGGGCACCAGCGTCAGGCTGGCTAGGTGGTCCTGGCCTCGCACACGGTGCAGAACCCACTGTGGGGTCCCAGCCCGGTCTCAATCCCCCCATGATCCAGTCCCTCCTTTCCACCAACACCGGCTGAGTGCCTACTACGTGCCAGGGCCAGTGGTGACCTGCACAGGGGTTCCTCCTTGGGGGGCCCGAGCTGGCCAGTGGAGGCCGCTCTACCCCAGGGACCGCAGCCCGCCCAGCGTCCGCTGACCTGTCTCCAGGGAGTAGATCGTGGTTTTGCACATGGTTTCATTGGTCTTGCAGGAGGTGATAGTGACGCAGCTAGACAGTTTGCTGGGCTCATGACAGGTGAAGCATTGCAGGGCCACCACTGGGCAAGAAGGGGTGACTCAGGCAGGCCCTGCCACTCCCAAACCTTCTGTCCTGGAGGCCCAGGTTTCAGGGGGACAACGCCACCTGAGGGGCTGGGGCGTCTCCCCCAGTTTTCTCAGACCCTTGCCCCCCTCCGTATGTCTTGGTTTGCATCCACTCCAGCCCCCAGCACTTCCCTGGTCTTCCCAAGGCACCACCTGAGACCTGCACCACGGCCCCAACCAGGGAGCCGGATTCTCGCCCTGAGCTGAAAACACTTCCCATGGCCCCGAGCTCCCCAGCTGGCACCCAGGGCCTTGGCTGGTGACCCCATCCCTCCCAGGCAACCTCAGCCCTGGGGGTCAGCCCCCTCTCGCCACACCTCTCCCCTCCCCCCTTTACCCCCACTCATGCCAAGGGCACCATCTGTCCTAGTGCCCCGTCTGTCCTGCCCCACCCAGTCTTCATCTCTTCTCGCTGTCCTCACACCAGGGAGACCGCCAGCACCCCCTCAGCCTCCTTGCTGTCCTCCACTCCCTGTCCCACCCCAGGCACCCAAGTGACCCCTCCCACCTGTCCCTTGCCCCTCACCAGGCTCGCTGCAGGAAGCCAGCACCAGTGCCAGCAGTGCCAGCCGTGTCCTCAGCATGGCCCAGTCCTTGCACCTCCACTCCACTCTGTGTCTGCCTTTGGCCTGACAGGCAGGGACAGCAAACACCAGCACAGCCACCCAACTGACTAGTCAGCCAGCAGGTTAACGAGATGGGGTTTCCAGTGGGCGGCACACCCAGCTCTGCCCCTCGCGCCTCCACCTGGACTCCCCGTTCCTTTGTAGGCACTTCACCTCCCCAACCCGCTCGCTTCCGCATTCTTGCATTCTTCCACATCCCACAGGCTGGGGCCCTTTCCCGCCCCTTGTGACCGCCCTCTTAGGCTTTGGGGTTCCTCATTCCTTCTGTAAGTCCCCCTGGGGCCCTTGACCTTCTCCCCTCCACCTGGGACCCCTGTGCCTGGAAGGTCCCCCCAGAATGGCAGGGGGTGGGGGCTCTCCCGCCTCCTGACTGCTGCCTCCTTCAGGCACCCTCCTGCCTTGGGTCTCCACTTCTATCTGCAGGACAGACTCAGTCTAGTGGCTCTGGGTTCAAGTTCTCCAAGGGTGCTGGGGTCCTACCTCCCAGCTCCTTTGAGGTGATCACAGGGGTGGGGGCACAGTTTGGAGTGATGGGGGCAGATGGCTGGCTGGACGTTCATCCACGCATGCTCAGAGGCTTAAGGAGACAGCCGGGAAAAGTGCTGGGTCAACAAAAAGGTCTTGGATGGAGAGTGGGGGTGGGGAGGAGGCAGGGTCGCCTTGGGGACATTACTCCCAGTGTTCACCTTGACCTCTAATGGGGCCAATGGGGCTGCCCCTCAGGCAGGGCTCACCTGGCCCCACTGCAGGTCCAGAAGTTGACGGGAAGGCCCTTGGCCAAGGCTCAGGCGGGAGAGAGGTGAACGTGAGGCTGATGATTGAAGCCTGGCTCCAGCCACGGCTTCCGTACACCCCACACACACACACACACACACACGCACACGCGCGTGCGCACACACACACACGGTGCAGCCTCCCCAGGGCATACCCTCCAGTGACTCTGTCATCCCTCCGCCAAGCCCCACAGCAGCTGCCAGAGCAAACCCTGGGAGGGGCTTCTCAAACTCTGGGGCCTCTCGCAGCGTAGTCAAAGCCACCGTCTTGCTGGGCTGTGCCCAGACTCACTCGGGACCCCACTGCACCCCACCCGACTGCATATCTGCTCCCCTCCTAGACTCTGACTCTGCTTTTCCTTCAGGCTTTCCTGGCGGATCAGGGATCAGCACATCTGGGATCTGGGCTTCGCTCAGGGTGGGTACAGGCACCTAGTTTTCCCTCAGGCCCCAGCGTGTGTCAGACACTCCTGTAGATCTAACTTTCCTCCCTGCAGCTCTGGAGGTACCAGCAGGGACATACTGCGGATGTGGGACCAGAAGCTCCCAGCCGCTGGCTGACTGCGACAGGTCACCTTGAGGGCTTGGGGAGCTGCCTGGTTTCACACTTCACCACACTGCCAGGCTGCAATCGGGCATTGATGCAAGTGAGCTAACTGGATTAGACACCCACCACACACACCCTACATTCCTTCGCCGGGTCAGGCAATTTCTTTTCCTTGGCCCCACCCAAACCAATTCTTTCCTTTCTTAGGCCCAAGGGGCCTGAACGTACTTTCCGTCTAGAGCACACACCTGGTGCCCAGGCATTCGCTTCTCCTGTTGGGTTGTCGGAAAAGTCATGACGTATTTTTCTGTTTTTCGTTGCAAAAATACGTCATGACTTTTCCGACAACCCAACAGAATTTCTGCCTGAACACCCCAGAGTGACTCAGGCTGAACCTTTCTGCAAAGTTGCAGCTGTCTTCTGAGGGTGGGAGGAGTGAGGCCCAGCCTGAGTCTGGGCAGGCTCTGTCTAGGGTGCCTGTGCGC